GCAAGAAGATGAAAGCTTCCTTCTGGCGAAGAATTCAATCATGAGTTCACTTGCTGGAGCCGGATCTCAAGCCGACTTCAACTCGGTCCTCAATATCGTCGCAGTTCAGATCTCTGACCCCGACGATGTCCAAACAGATGTAGATTCTTCCGCATCTGTCAATAATGCCGTAGACGACGAAGAAGACTTCGACCCCTTCGACGGATACGACATCAATGACCCATATCTAGATTCACAGCCCAGCTGAGACTAGATATTTCAATTGTTTAATTTAATTTTTCTTATTATGTAAATTAATTTGTTTAAATTTCGTTTTGAATTTTCGATAAAATCATTGTATTTCGATCTTATCATCACTATCCCAGTCTGTTTTTGTGAAGGACTTGCAGAAGAAATCACGATGCAGTAGATGTCATGCTTCTGATGTGGAGTAACCAACCACAAGGCAGCGCAGGTAGCGTATAGGATTGACTCAGTTGAGAGGATTCCATATCTCACAAGGCAACTCTAGTCGAAAATCTATGGTGTTCCTTGGGCAGTGAAAGGCGGGAAGCCGAGAGTAAGACCCTAGATGGAACGGCCTAATTTGAAACCAGAGAAGCCTTTACGATTGATATACAGAATCCGCAATCCTCGCCAAATCAGAAGAAGCCGGGTGACTCCATCAGATTTCTAAAGCAAGGCATCCAGTCCAAAAACAGTCATATCAGCCTTTACTTTCAGTCTTTTGTTTATTTTGTCAGTTTGTAATAATTTTCCGCTTTACTTTATTTCTTTTCTTACTTTTTCAAAGATAAGATGCCTCTTGTCGGCCACACTTATCTTTACTTTTTTAAAAGTAGATTCCAAAGAGATAAGATGCCAGTCAAGGACTTGTCTTGTCGGCCATACTCTATCTCTTTAGGTTGTATCAAATTATGTTGAGACAAGTGTCCGGTCCAAGTGCTATATATAGAAGAGAACCGATAATTGTACCAGGGCACAATTATTGTTTTCTTACTATTGTCTTGACACTTGTCTCAACATAATTTGATACAACCTAAAGAGATAGAGTATGGCCGACAAGACAAGTCCTTGACTGGCATCTTATCTCTTTGGAATCTACTTTTAAAAAAGTAAAGATAAGCGTGGCCGACAAGAGGCATCTTATCTTTGAAAAACAGTCATATCAGCAGTTGAGCATGTCGGGATTGAGGTCGGCCTGTCGGGAGTAGCTATTCCAGTTCATACTCTTGTCATCTGGAATTTGACTAAGTATGGAAGGTCGTTCCTCCCATGAATGATCTTCAGGGAAGACCTTCAGATCAGCCTTTAGGGAAGGCCTCACGTCGGCCCTCAGGGGAGCTCTTCAGGTCGGCCCTCAGTAGAGCTGTTTAGGTCGACCCTCAGTGGAGCTCTTTAGGTCGGCCACCAAAAGGAAGATCTTCAGGTCGGCCACCAAAGGGAAGACCTCCAAAGTTGGACATTTTTTTCTGTCCTCCACATGGCAGTACGATTTTCAACCCCCAAACAAGGCTTATCAACACCCAAGATTCAATGGTCAAAGAAACATGTTTATAATTAATTTACAGATGTATATATCTACCTAGCATTTGTATTAATAGATTTTTTTAATACAACATGAAAATGAGGGGATTAAACTCACATCATCTTAATTAGAGATATATGTTGTTTACACTGAGCTATACGCGTGCTTTAACATATTTGTATTAATAGAATTAAAATGCTATGATTTATTTTTACTTTTATTTTTTTGTTCAAGTAAATGGTGGAAAATACGTGCATGTAATATTTAGGACCTTAGAACTTCAGTTAGAGTAATAGAGTTAATAAATTAATAATGGATGGATTTTAAGAGTTTTTTCAATAAAAAAGACATTTCATTCGTATCTAAAGTTTAGCTCAACTCGAATCAAAGTATAAAAGTCAAACAAACGATTATCATTATAGCTTCAAGATTTTAAGTCCTTTCTTGTCAAAGTGTATACTAGGGTGTTCCTTGTTCAGCCAATACATTCAATTGCCAACATTTGGAGATGTTTCACCAGCTCCTTCATTTCCTTATGATGATCCAATAGGTTTTGGCAAGATATGAATTCTCCTTATTCACTAGGTTAGCTACGTACATTGATGGAATTAATTTTGACATAGGTTAGATACTTTTATATGCTTCTTTAACTGTTTCGAGTCCTTTGCAAGTTGTCATAACTCTTAACAATTTCACATTTTTTTCATATCTTAGTTGACAAGACAGTACATATCACTTTTATTACAGTTGAAGATTTGATCTCTCACCCCACCATTGTTGAACTAAAAAAATAGTTTGTTAATTCACTAAGCAACYTCTTATGAATAATATTGTTTTGAAATTTTCAATTAAATCACCTCAAAATGAATATACGACTTGAATAATGAATATGTCCATTATTGAATTTAGGAGTGTGTGGCACCCTATTCCATAACAAGGCTACAAAGTTAAATCATAGGTCCATTATGAATTTAGGAGTGTGTGCTACCCTATTCCATAACAAGACTACAAAGTTAAATCCATATTCGCTGTATGTAGTGTTGGGCACGTAGTTCATTTGGAGACTAAAAAACCATCCCAACCTCATGATTTAATCAATTAAATAACCAAAAGATAAAGAATTTCTTTTAATAAATCAATATAGGGTTTTGAGAGTTTGCAAAATAATACCATTGTTATGTTAGGATTTGAACTAATTCTCTCTAATTATTATGATGCATCTTGACTATTTCGAACCGATGAACCACTCATAATAGTTTAGGAGACGGTAATATTAATTTTTTTACTCAATGGTAGCCTCTCAATCTCAACTCTCTCTACACCATCACGAGTCTTCGGTATAAACTGATACAAATATTAGCTTAAAACTTTGTTGATGCATTTTATTACTGGATTTGCATTGTTTAAAAAAGAATGTTCACTAACCTAATTTATAGGAGAAAAGAGGTCCAATAATGTAATAGAACTGAGAATTGGGCAAATTTGCTATAAATTGCAAAATAGTTTTGAGATTTCCCTTTCAAATGCAATGCGTGGTGTCAATTTAAAAAGATCACAACATGCCCGTGGAGAGAGAGAAATAATAATTTTAAGAGAGAAAAAAAAGAGGGAAAAAAGAAAAAGAAAAAGTGAGGAAGAGAAGAGGACCAAGGAAAAAAAAGGGATGGCCGATTCGGACCGTAAAAGGGCAGAATTGGTCATTGTTCGTATTTGATATCAACAACTCACCGTAAAAGACAAAAGCACTGCTGGACCAACTGGGCCCCACCACTCTTTATCCTGGGCCCACTCACCTTTCTTCCACCAACCCAATACTGCTAAAAGAAAAAGGAATATATATATATATATATCAAAATTAAAAAGTTTAAATTTCTATTTCAATTTTTCTTTTCCCAACAATTTTAAAAGTGTAAACTCTGCATAATAACTATTTTATTTTTATTTTTTGATCTTAAAAATTATGCTTGTATAATTACAATTTTTTTTTCTTTTCGATTTTAACCTTTCTTAAAGCCCATATGTGAACTTTTGACTATATTTCAAAAATAAAAATAAGTTTCTAAAATTATTTTTTTGGTGTAGTTTTCAAATTTTATTAAAAAATTATTGGATAATAAAAAAAATATAAATATGAAAGTAGTGTTTACCAAATTAATTTTAAAAAATAAAAAATAGTTATGGGACAAAACTTTGGTGATCAAAATAGTTAATTTTTTAAAATTAAAATTAAAGTAGTCATTTTAAAAGTTTTGAGACGGAAGTAAAACAAACTTTGAAAATCAAGATTCAAAATATGAGTTAAAAAGTTAAAAAATAGTTTGTTATTAAAGAAATAAGTTGAAAATATATATTTTTTATTACTATACAAAAGATTCCGCCTCCAACACCCAGCTGCTGGTTATTCTTTCCTGTCACTTTCTCTCTCCTTCTCTCTCATTTCCATGCGCTTTTTTTCTTCTCTCTCTCTCACCCAAACACAAACACAAACAGTGCTTCATCTCGCTCCACCGAATTTGGATTCTTCGAGGTTCATCTTCTCTCTTTTTCTCTCTCTCTGTCTCGTCTGATTTCTTTGTTTCCCACTCCTTTTTATTTCGACTTGTTATGAACTCATTTTTGTCTTCTTACTCTTCGCTTCTGAACCAAAATTTTGTTGCTCTCTACGGCTTTTCTCTGGCTGTGGTGACTTGTAGCTCCTTTTTTATCCCCTTTGTTGATTTCTAGATTGCTGAAGGTTCGGTTCGGTTCGGATATTCCTGAGAGATTTTGAAGGGGTACATATCTTCTCTTTGAATTGCTTGGTGGGGAGGAATCTGTTGCTTGGTTAAATGCTCTATACTGTACCGCTTTATTGGGTTTTGTTGGTGGTGGTAGGGTTAGAGTTCGAATTAGGGTTAGGGCCTTAAAAGCTTCAAATAGAAATGCCTCTCGGGGAGGCAATGGTTTCGGATCCTGTTGATGGTATACAGTATTCGTTTGCCAAGGAGTACAAAGGTCCACCGGTGCTGTATGATCTTCCTCAGGCTCTTCCGATCAACGTGGAGCGGATTCCGGTGGCTGCAGTGGTAGCTGAGGTTCCATTTACCCATAAAATGTCTTTGCCGGTTGTTCAACCGATTTTGGCGCATGATGCTCTGAATAAGAAGTTCTCTAAAGAGTCAGAACCTGCCGGTGGGAAGTCTGTGGTTTCACCTACATCCGTAATCGCCTTTGATCAGAGTACTGAGGATAGTCGCAGGTGTCTGTCCAAAGAATCGGATTCTGGCTCTGAAACGACTGTTTCACCAACTTCTGTTATTGCCTTTGAGGAGAGAGCAGTGAGTAATCATGGATGTCAATTGTCGGGTGACTTGAGTAGTTCCGGTGCTTTGGAGTTTTCAAATGGGAAAATTGTTTCTGGTGAATTGTCGGATGTGGGCAACTTCTCGAGGGCATATGGCTGTTCCTCTATTAGTCACGGAAATTCTTGTGAGTTATTAGGTGACGCGGGAAGCTCCTGCACCATAGAGTTTTCTGGAAGCTTTAATAAATCACAGCGAAGCTCATATTCTTTGAGGGCTTCGAACTGTAGAAAGGAAAGCATAGATTTCGATGATGTCAATCAAGTTGATTGGGTATCTACAGAATCAGTATTGAGTACGGACTATCCATCTTCTCGGGTTTCTTCTATGAAAGTTGTAAACGAAGGAAGTGGTGATGGTGGGCGGCCAGCTGTAACTTTTCTTGACCCTGAGTCTGATGATACATACAATGAAGAGTATAGTTTGGATGAGCCAGAGAAGACTCTGCGAGTGAAAAGAGAATCACAAAGAAAAGGAAAGAGAGGATCTTGTTATCGATGCTGCAAGGGAAATCGGTTCACTGAGAAGGAGGTCTGCATCGTCTGTGATGCTAAGTATTGCAGTAACTGTGTGCTTAGAGCTATGGGTTCAATGCCCGAAGGTCGAAAATGTGTGACTTGCATAAGTTTTCCTATTGATGAGTCTAAGCGTGGAAATTTGGGAAAATGCTCCAGAATGCTTAAGAGATTGCTGAATGAGTTGGAGATTCGACAGATTATGAAGGCTGAGAAGTGTTGTGAAGCGAATCAACTACCACCAGAGTATGTTTGTGTGAATGGGACACCTTTATCTTTTGAGGAGCTCACAATGCTTCAAACCTGTCCCAACCCACCAAAGAAGCTAAAACCAGGAAATTATTGGTACGATAAGGTTTCTGGTCTTTGGGGAAAGGTGATTCTAGTAACCTTGAGTTTTTTTTTTTCCTTTGATATGTATATCTTCATCATGCAATTAAACTTTCTAATCTATTTAACAGGAAGGACAGAAACCCTCGAAGATAATTACTCCCCATCTTAACATCGGTGGCCCTATTAAAGCAGATGCTAGCAATGGAAATACAAAGATTTTTATAAATGGCCGAGAAATTACAAAAGTAGAGCTCCGGATGCTGCAGGTAAATTTTGTATGTGCAACCTTTGTTTTTAGGCCAACTTCCTTCTAAAATTAAAAGGGAACTTATGATAATTGTAGTTGGCTGGAGTTCAATGTGCCGGTAATCCTCACTTTTGGGTTAATGAGGATGGATCATACCAAGAGGAGGGGCAGAAGAACACCAAAGGGTACATATGGGGGAAGGTACTGTCTTGTGGAAATATGACTGTAAATTAGTTTTTAGCTTATATTTGTAGCTCTAATTGGCCCTATACTATATTTGTTTTTAACTTCTTGATTACATTTTAGGCTGGAACAAAGCTTGTCTGTGCTCTGTTATCACTACCAGTTCCTTCTAAATCTTCAACTTATTCTGGAGAATCAGAAAGCAACCTTGTTTACAGAACTTTTCCTGATTACCTTGCTCTTCAAAAGTTCCTCTTAGTTGGTTATGATGGATCTGGGACAAGTACCTTATTTAAGCAGGTAGCTTCTAATTGATGAATTGAGTATATGATTCATCATTTCTTTGTATGATATTTTGGCTTCTTTTCTAGATTTTTTTAAATAGATATAATTATCCGAATGCAAATAGGACTGATGGGTATTTAGAAATTGTACCCCTTTTGTGATTAATTCTAATTGGATTGCTTTGTTGTTAACTTCAAGGGGTTCCATACTCCTGTAACTTTTTACTATATATGAAAAATTATTGTTTCAGTTGAAAAAGAAAAAGATAACTGTCTGAAATTCTTAAAAAATATAGATTCTTTTAAGTATTAAACTAAAAAAATTAAAATAAATGAAAAAATGGAATGAATCTGTTCATATATGTATGTTTAGGACATATTTTTTTCCTTACAACTATTTCTGAAGAAATGTTTGGTAAACAAATTTCAAGGAGACACGTGCCTATGTCACTTCGTTTTCTTTGCAATGTTCCCCTAGTTGATCATGTAATGATAGTATGTTCCGTTTATTTTATCTTAGAGACTACTTGACTGTACCGTGTGCATTTTTTTTAGTCATCTGAAGTTTGCCCACATTGCATTCTTTGATTGGAAATATTTAGTAATCAAATTAAGTTGGCAATTTCATTTTCTAAATTCTTTTGCAGGCCAAAATTATCTATAAGGATGCACCTTTCTCCAAAGACGAACGTGAAATCATTAAGTTGAAGATCCAGAGCAATGTGTATGGCTATCTTGGTATAATTCTTGAAGGCCGTGAACGGTTTGAGGAGGAAAGTTTGGCTGAAACAAGGAGGAGAAAACTGTCTGATGAAGTTGATCCTGCTGGTAGGAGTTATTACTGATTCTTGTCTCATTATCTCTTAAAATCATTAGACAAAGTTACTGGTGCATGCCATGTTACCTTTAAAAGAAATTCTGGATAATATGACTTGGGTTTGTTTGTTTTTTTTGTTTTGTTTTGTTTTGTTTTTTTTTTGTATTAAATTATCTGTCTAATGCACAATTAGTGTTTTAGTGGTAAAGAATATTTTGTTTATTTTTTTAAATAACAGCAGTTCATCTTGGCCTGGAGCTATGAACATTTTTTACATCTTCAGTCATCAAAAGCTATGGGCTAATTTTTATATATTGCTTTTAATTGATTTACTCAACAATGCTAGATATAGATCTCCAGACAGTTCATGGCTTGTGCTGTTAGTTACCAAATAACACACTGAACTGTTTAAGGACTGGAGTGTGGTGTGGTTAATTGTTTACAGGGCAGTGTTTGCTTAGCTCTTGGATGTATATGTAGCTGGGTAAGGCTTGATTGTCAGACTTTGCTGGTGTTTTAAGTTCGCATTATTTTTATTACATAAAATGCTAGATCGATATTTAATTTGGTAAAATGAATTTTTGACTAAAAGCAGGGAGCTTGAGTGTTGATTCTGACAAAACCATGTATTCAATTGGACCAAGATTGAAAGCATTCTCTGATTGGCTTCTCAAGACTATGGTATCTGGAACTTTGGAGACTATCTTTCCTGCCGCCACTCGTGAATATGGACCGCTAGTTGAAGAGTTGTGGAATGATGCTGCTATTCAGGCTACCTACAAACGAGAAAGTGAGCTGGATATGCTGCCCAATGTTGCTCATTATTTTCTAGAAAGAGTAAGATCTTACACTATTTGCCTCAACTTGTTAATTTTCAAATAGAATATGTGTTCTTCTAGGTTTTGTCAGAGTGTTGTGCAACTCATGCCAAATTAAAAGATTAATAAGTCATCTTTAAACCCTCCAATGAAGCTATGTGGGCTTAATAGACCTTGCTATTTTGTTTCTTTCCTGTGCAGGGACAGCTCTAAATCTTGCTTATAGTAATTGTTATAATCGATTCTAACATTCTGTGTTTCTCCAGGTAGTTGACATATTGAAAACCGATTATGAACCTTCCGATTTGGATATCCTATATGCAGAGGGTCTTATTTCATCCAATGGGCTTGCTTGTGTAGATTTCTCATTTCCACAATCTGCACCTGATGATGATGTCGACACTGCCGATCAGCATAACTCTTTGCTTAGGTGAGTGAGAATATTTTATAATAGTTTCCAAACTGAATTTTGAGCGTCGTACTTATAAACAATATGCAACAATAATAAAATGCTCTATATAACTGTAGTTTGTATTGATGTCCATATTGAGGTAAAGGTACCCATTCAATCATCACTGATCTACTCATTTTGATTTCAGGTATCAACTTATTAGAGCTCATGCAAGAGGAATCGGTGAAAATTGCAAGTGGCTGGAGATGTTCGAGGACATTGGGATTGTTATTTTTTGTGTCTCTCTGAGTGACTATGATCAGTTTTCCATTGACAGCAATGGGGATTCCGTGAATAAGATGTTACTCAGCAGGAAATTCTTTGAAAGCTTGGTTACTCATCCAACCTTCGATCAAATGGACTTCCTTGTGTTACTGAACAAATATGACTTGTTTGAAGAGAAGATCGAGCGCGTACCGTTAACTCAGTGCGATTGGTTTGACGATTTCCATCCAATGATCAGCCGTAACCGCTCCAACAGCCAGAACAATATAAACAGCAGCCCTTCACTCGGGCAACTCGGTTTCCACTATGTAGCAGTAAAATTCAAAAGGCTCTTCACCTCATTGACCGGGCGGAAGTTGTATGTTTCACCTGTGAAGGGTCTAGAACCTGATAGTGTTGATGCAGCTCTTAAATATGCTAGAGAGATAATGAAGTGGGATGAAGAAAGAACCAACTTTAGCTTGAGTGAGTACTCGGTCTACAGCACAGAAGAAAGCTCGTTTTCTCACTAATGCTTTTAGATCAGGGCCAGGGGTGGCTTGTAGAGTGGGTACAAATGCTATACCAATACCAAATTTATATAATTTCCACTGTAAATATGATAGCTCTGTAAATCAACAAGATAAGCCCGTTCCTTCCACAAGCAATTGCAGCTGTAAGTTTGCAAGTTAACATTTTGGTAGTAGTGGCTGAGAATTTAGGATTCAGTTTTCAATATTATTTTGAGCCTATTTTGGAGTAGGTCTTCAGGACTTCCATCTGTCTTTTTGTAGCGCTTTTCTTATTGGAAAACATAACTTTTAACCTCTCGAATCTCATGAACTCCTCTATTAGAATATTGCTGACTGTTCTTGAGAGCAATTTTAGAAACAAAAAGTAAAAAAAAAAACCTCATTTCTTCAGAATCATTGAAGGCATGTTGTAGAGCTACATAATAATCAGTGATGTAGTTGAAATGATGCTCTAAGCTTGATTACAGCCAAATTATCCAAACAAGAAGAAACCAAGAGCCATTCAGGTGCAAGATACAATCCCTCTTGCATCATTTTGCCTATTTTTCGCATCGAGCTCTTGCCTGCCTGCGGGTGATTTTCACGATTATTTCTCCACAAATGTTATTCCGACCGCGAACAAACTCAAATGTACATTTGTCATTCATCTTCAAACGATTCTCCTTGAAGAAAACAGACCAACCAGTGGTAAGACCAAACCGGCGACGGCTGAGTGGTTTGGCTGTCACCGGCCATGACTTGCCCATTTCGTTGATAAGAACCACAGTTGGCTTCAGCAAGATGTTATTTGCAACCACCATCTTTTTAGATATTTGCTGCAATCAGAATCCATTTCATTAGAAAGACCGAATTCATGAAACTTGCAAAGAAGAAAAGAAATACTTGGGACGAAATTGCAGTCTTCTAACATTCTCCTCTGCATTTTAGCTCCACTAATGCCAGTTGAAAAATTGGACACACTAAGCTATTTAGTCTTACGACGTAAACAAAATTAAGAGTAATCCGAAGCAAGAATCGATGTCATAAGCTGTAACTGCTAGAATCGATGTGGTCTAATCAATCACACCCAACAAGATTCATTCGCCATGTAGCTTTTTAACTTCAAATTACATGCTCAATCACCGGTTTGCTCGCCGTAGTTATCATCGTTGTCAGTTGTTTCAAACAGATAAAGAACTAAAGGTGATTGCTGATCTCTTAAAACGACTACCCAAACACTCATCTATTAGTGCAAACCTTAGCCTTGCCTCCTTGGCTTAATTGAGAAGGAAAAGATTTTGCAGTGAACCTAACATCCCTACTACTATTACCTAAATGAAAACAAAAATCTAGTGCAGTGCAGCTACATCATTCTATTGATTCTTCCAAAAGTTAAACACGATGGAACCACAATCTGGCATGAGACGTAATATGACATCCAAGTGAAAATCAAATAAAAAAACGTCTATGATAATAGCAACTGCAAGTTATACCATATATTTCCACGGTTTGAAAGCATATGTAAGACTACACAAACAAGCACCTTTAAACATCATGGAAACTAGAATGTTTAGGCATCGATGTTCAAAGCTACATTTTCAATCATTTCCCTTTATTATTTATATCAAACTATCGTTCCTAACTTCAAAACGCCACAGTAAAGCTATCAGATCAAAAAACTTACAATGGCACTACATGTCCAACGCTTGACTACGTGCTTGAAGGTTGGTCTTTTCTTCGAAATATGATCTGTAGTCTTAGAAGGACAAAGTTCTTCAAGATTTGTTGTTGATATTTCCCTTGATTTAGGGGCTGTGCCTGTAAAGTATCCAAAAAAGTTAGGGCATTTGAGTACATATCTATACATGAAACACAAAAGTATGTTGAACAAAAAAGTGGTGATGAATACTTGTCACCTGAACTACCACTGGATCTAACTTCCAGACCATTCCTCTCGCAACCAGTTAAGGATTTACTACTACAATCTTGCTCTGATTGGGGCTCATCTTTGATCTTCACATCTGGAAAACAACTACCGTTACCTGATACTAGCTCCTTCTTGCATCCATTTTTACCAAATATCTTAACATCAAACATATGACTCCCATCATATTGGAAAACTAAAAAGTCTCCATATTTTAAGAGGTGGTAGTCAGCAAATTCTCGCCAACCGTTCTTGAAAAACACACCGTTTTTCAGTTCTTCCAAAGTAACATCCCAAGATTTTCCGCTATGATCTCTGAGGACGGCATTGCTTGGAACGCTTCCATTGAAATGCTCCACAAAAGCAGGAGGTATGCACTACATTATGAGATCATGAACATAACTTAGAGGAATTGGCTACTTTTCTACCTATGTACTTTAGAGATGAATATATCCATACATTATCTGTAATACAGACTTTTTCTTTTTGTCAGTTAACCAGCCCACTTCAACTGATTTCAGAGAAACCTAACTCATCTCAATACCATTGGAATTAGAATATGTTATATAGAACAATTAACATGGTTGTGTTTTTATCGCTTTCCCCTCATGTAACTTCTGATGAGAAAAGCACCTTCGTAAGAAAAATGGAAGGGGACAAACACCATGCCAAAGAAAAACACAAGCCAAAGCAACCGAATGAGTAGGGATGAGTCAATAACTCAAAGGAGGGAGCGCCAATTATTAAGAATAGAGAACAGAGGAAACTTACAAAATGATTTAGACACAAAACGCCCATATGGAGGATGAAATATGCCAACTTCAAACCTCTTTCCAAAACCCTTCTACACCTATAAAAGTATTCCTATTTCTTTCCAACCAAATATCTTTTACGATAGCCAAAACCCGTCCTATCAAGGAAAACTCCTTTGGTTATGGAAATGAGAGGGTGTAGAATAAATTCCTTCGATATTGGCCAACAATTTTGACAAGGAGCCAAACCGAAGCCACATTTAACACCTATAAGAATTTCAACGCGATATTCTTAGCAAACGAACACTTCTATCGGATATGGCCAAAATCCAAAAACACCAGCTTGTAAAGAATGCACTACACAGACCCAAAAAAGAGGAAGATTTCTTAATAAAGTCAATGTTGTTAGTTCTCTCAAATGCAACCAACCAAGAGAAAAAGTTGACCATTCATGGGATACAAGAAAGGGGAATGATGATCAAGAGGAGAAACATGACTGCTAAAAGAAAACATTTACCCAAATAAATATCAAACTGTCCAAGAGACCAAAATTTTCTATTGGTAAAGACCATGGACAATGCAAACCCTTGAAGGATGGGAGACAAGCAAACCAAATCATCTGCCTTCCTATAACAGAGGACTCTCCTAAACCAGAAGCCAATAGAAGATCAGCCTCTGGTTAGAGAAAATAAATAAACCATAGGGCCTTCTTCTGCAAGAGAGAGGCTACAACTACAAGCAATACACCACAAAAATTAGCTCAACCAAGTAATTCTTAATGCACCATGCTGACAAAAGGAAGAATTTTTCTTCTTGAGAGAAAAAAAAGAGTATTTTAACATGAAATCCACCTCTTTTCTCTGGATTTTCGAATCTTTGGCTCACTCTCCATATTATGAAACTCATACCATCGTAACCTATCAACATTACCTAATGTTGTTTTCTGCTAGAATCTACACGAAGATGATAATGGGTTTTCTGTTTGTATATTCTTCTATTTGCTTTTCCCCCAAAACAAACCACCATTTCTCCAATATCCCCATGAAAGTCCAGAAGCAGAAACACTGGTCTCACTCCACCAACCACAGAGAGAGAGAGAGAGAGAGAGAGAGAGAGAGAGAGAGAGAGAGAGAGAGAAGAGAGTGTACCATATGCTGAGAACTGGAATTGGGAAGAAAAACCTTGAAGAACTCAGGGCAAGAAGAGATTCTGCTGCTGGGTTCCATTATTGTCGAGAAAAGAAAAAAAACCCCTTTAACACTCTCCAATGGTATTAAAAGAGGGGCTTTTCCGAAGAGTTGGAGAACCCCAGATAGGAAATTCGAAGAACCATTACATTTGGGTCAGTGGGTCTCTTTGCTTTTGTTCAGAGAAGGCGGATCCCTGCTTAAATCTCTGAAGCACATTATAAAGTAGAGATTAGAGAAGTACTTCTCTTTAGACACCAAAATATTATTATTCAAAGCTTTTACTTCCTTATCCTAGTAAATGACGTGGTTGTTGTAGCCAGAAAAGGAAGTTACAGCTGGTCTCCATGCTCAGCTTAACAAGCTCCTAGCCGTTTAAGGAACAGATTAACAATTGAAGGAAAATTTTCTCTCTTTTCCTTTGAGAAAGTCAAAAGTATAATTATAAGAAAACTAGACAAGTACAATTCTTATGTCATATTCTTATCCAAAACTTTGATAGATATAACAAAGAATCTTTAAGATTTGCATATCAAAGCGAGAGTAAGAAAGATTAACAAATTTCATAAACTAGCAAAAGTGGATAGATATAATTGTTAAATTACTGCAAGCTTTTATTTTATTTTATTTTTCTCTACTACGGTGCAACAATCTTTTAGTCATAATATATGAGTTAGAACTCGTATTGACAATTATTGAGGTGCTCTCTACTTATTAAGAATTTAGTATTATAAGAAATTGAAAAATAAAATATAATAAGAATGTTATTTATTTGATATTGTTTATTACTATCAATTTTCTTGAATTTGATAAAAAAAAACATATCATTATTATTTACTAAAACTAGAATCAAAATCGAAACAGTTACAGTAATACTACTTAACTAAAATAAGAATAAAATATATAAAAATTACTATAATACTGCTTTCTTATTTTTAATTAATTATAAATACATTATTAATATTATTTTTAATTAAAACAATATTCTACTATGTTTTATTTTGTTTTATTACCATTTTATTTAGAGTAAATATTTTTTATTGTAAAAATTATTTAATTAATAAATGATAAATAATTAAAATAAAATTACATTAACTAAGATTTGATAATAAAATATTATTAAAATTTATTGTTATAATATTTAATAATAATTAACTATATTTTAAATATTGATAAATAATAACAAAGTAAAACTTAAATTAAATAGAAATTTATAATATTTTATAATGAGACCACAACAAGTAATAACAGTGAAGTAAAATTATTATTAAAATAATTAGAAAAAATAAAATTTAAAACCATTAATTAAAAAGTTAGGAAGTTTCTTAAGAAAGATTAAAAGTTGTAAAATAATTATTGAAAATGTACGAAACCCACAATATAAAGAACGAGAATGAAATTGATTAAATTTTAGCAGATGAATGAGATAATTACTATTGTCAGACGGAGTAATTATCCATCAATAGGTTTCATTTTTAAAATTTAGAGAACACCATCGAAACTATTCTCATTCATGGAATACTATTACTTTGAAATAAAGGGTGATTTAAAAAAAATGAAAAAAGAAGAGAGAATATTAATTAGTTAATTTCAAAATTCAAAACGTGAAAAGAAGTTTTCTTAATAAACATCAAGCAACTACTCCTTTGTTGGGGGAGATTGTTTTGTGTTGTGCTTCTTGTCCTTCGCCACGATAGATTGTTGAATCGTCGCTCGTTGCTCCATAGCTCCTTTCTTTAATTTTGTCTCGTAGTTTTCAATAAAGGATCGTAATCGTCCTCATCTTCCTCGTCCTCCTTTATCGTAATCTCCTACATCTTGCTTTTATTTGATTCGAAACGTTCGTATTATAGATAATAATACATATAACACATGCTATATAAATGAATGAAAAATACTTGGTGTTTACTCGTTAGCACCTATCTTTTATTCTTGTTGACCACTATTAAACTTTAGACAAATAAAAGAAATAAATGTATAAAAATGGATGTTTTTTTTCTGTTTTTAAAGAAACTAAAAAGTTGACAAGTAGTCAGCATAAAGATGGGTGCTGACTGATAAGCACCTAAATATTAATCTAAGCATTATTTTGAATGAATTACCTCAGTCTTTTCAGGATCTCGATCTCTCGCTCTCTCACCATTTGCTCAACCGCTTCTTTTACCATTTTCCATAATTTTAAAAATAAGATCCTTCATCACATCTATGTCATAAGATATTTTTTCCATATTTCCCTCCATGTTGACTATCTTAGTCAACAAAAAATTCACGACACCATCATTTGAAACAAAATTTGGACCTTCCCAATCATCGTAATCCTTGTTGTACGAGGTTCTAGCATCATTGTTCTGTTCTTGATCTAATGGTAACTTACTCTTGTCTTTTGATCGCTCAACCCCGCCAACGGGCAACGACATATATCGCATACCCAACTCGGCATCGGTTGCTTCAATAGGCTGAACATCAAACTAAGAAACAGAACAGAAAAAGAAAACACATGCCACAAATGATTAGTTTGCAACAATTTTCAATTGCACCAACTATATACATTGTTCATATACTCACCGAATCGGATCGAAAAATCTTCTCCGAAAGGTCCCTCCACTCCGGATGAACATTCGCTACCCAATTGTTCATTCTTGGCATGCCAGAGGAAATCTTCGTCGCGAAAAGATTCGAATTCAACGAGAGCAAGGGAATCGTCTCGTACGCCCACACAAGTAAGGCGTATGGAAATCCCCCTATCCCTATTGCTGATGCATCATTGCTTTTTATGGCTTTTTTCACAAAATCTATTGTAATCTCATAAGAGACTCTCCCCCATGGATACCCCTCAAACTGTTCATCATCATCAATCAATAAAGTATATTCATGATTTATTCCTGTCGTTATTTGCTTTCCTAGTAAAAACATCTCTAAGATGTACAACTTTGCCATTTTGACAACATCTTTGTCTCTCCCTTTATCCATTTCCATAAAGATCTCAGGTAATTTTGTCCTTTTGATAGTCCTCTCCCCACCAAAATACCTCTTACTAAACCAAGCTCTTTGAATTTTGGACATATCAATGGTCGGTAATTCTCCACAGTTCATACCTGTTATTAAAGCAAAATCTTTGATCCCAAACTTATGTACTCTACCCTCAAGGTTGAACCATAGTTCATTCGGGTTTTTCGAACTACACTGTCGCCTAATCAAATGATAGAAGAGTTGGGACGAGAACTTGGTGATCTTGAAGTCTAAGAAATTTCCAAAGCAACTTCTCCTAAGCATATCTAGTTGCCTTTCGTTCAGAGTATTCTTTATCAATGAGATAACGTCGGGCTTACTATACAAATTTATCCGCTGAGTAGTCGACCACCTACGCTTCGGTACTAACAACGGGCACTCCTGTCATCATGGCATGAACAAAAACAAACATTGGAAACTAAATAGTAACTAACGAAAGTGCAAACATAAAAATAATAATGTTACCTTATAAACATCTGCCTGTTCATCATCTTGTTCATGTGTACTAGAAGAAACTTCTGAATTCTTTCCCCTTCTTGCTCTTTTCTTTCTCTTAGCATCTTCCTTCTGCTTCCACATAAAAAATTCCCATAATTTGACCCAAAAATTTCAACCATTAAGATTATAAAACTAAATCTATTACCTCAGGTTCTTCTGAAACCTTCCTCTTTTGCCTTGTTCTCACATATCTTCTAGGGTGATCTTGATCAGTATCTATTACAGAAGTCTCTTCTGTTTGTTTTTCCTTTGAAATATACAACACATCATCAATTACAGCTTGAAAGCTTATAATCTTAGAAATTAAACCTACTCTTCCTCACCTTGGAATTTTTCTTTTTCCTCTTTCTGGTAGTCCTGCCCGTCGCGGGGCTCTGTTCTTGCTGTTCGACATTATTCTCTTCATCAGATGAATTCCCACCGTGCTGTTTCGATTTTTGCAACACCAAGTATATGATCAGTATCTATATGTGTCCGTGTGTGCGCGTGCGTGTAAATATATCACTTTTTTACCTCTGTAGGAACCATATGATTAGTTGATTCCCTCATGTCTTCTTTATCAGTTTGAAGGGATGGATCCGCCAAAAAAAGTATCTCTTGTGGTTCACTAATAGGTACTTCTTCATTTGTCTGTTGCATATAAAATCATTAAGAAAAAAAGTTATACATCCCATTTGTTCATAATTTGTAAATGATGAATGTACTTCCTACTTCTTACCATGTCCATATCAACTTCTTGTTTGCTCTCACAATTCTCCAACGGGACATCTTGTTGGAAATATTCATCATCATTTTGTAGACTACCTTCTCCCTATGAATAATATGTAAAGTGTTAAAAAAATTTATTTTAGTGGTTTTTTTTTTTTTAATTTAATCCAAATTGTTTAAACATTTTTTAATTATACCTCTAAAAAGAAGAAAAGTCAGATTTTTTAAAGAGTTTTAATTTAACTTCTAAATTTCTGACAACTTTATCATCCGATAATTTTAACATTTTTGGAGGGTATAATTGAAAAAAAGTTTAAATCAAACTAAATTGCAACAATGGGAACGAAATTGAGAAACACAAACTAAATAAAATACGCATTTAGCCTTTCACAAAACTATCTTTCGATAAGATCACATCAAACAATTTAAAAATTATGGGGTACCTTATATTCGAATTTAATGTATTTTGGTTCTTGATTTGAAGATGATGATCGACATTGGCCACAAATCATCTTGCGGCTGTAATCTGGGTGAAGGTATCTTCCCACTTCTTGCTTGATTTGTACTACAATATAAATAAATAACCAAAATTTCTCAAGAAGAACATTTTTTTTTCGAGGGTTATTGAATTTGTAAGTAAAATCAGTATACCCAAGATAAAAATTGAAGAAAATAACTCAATGAACTAAAACTTATTTACCTGGAATTGTGTCGCAGAGTTCAATCGTGAAATTCTCTATTTCAGAGACAGCCATATCGACCAAAAAGGGCTTCTCCACCATGAATTATCACTGGGGGTTAGTTACTGAATATAAATGGAAAATATACTTCGTATCTTCACAATTTAAAAAAGAAAAAAATCTAAATTTTATATATATTTTTTCCATTTTATGCAATTCTCGAAGATCTTACCTTTTAAAATTTTGAGTTTAGAAATATATTCTCTCTAGATAATATAAAAATATCAGCATTAAATAATCAAGATTTTGGCACCAAAAGAGAACTTGATTTTGGTGCCTATAGAAGAAGTGCTGCATTTGAATTTGATTCTGAGAATACGTTTCTTGATTTTGTTTCCTGATTTTGCTTCCTGAATCTCTAAAATCATTGGTGTGTTAGGTTTTAACGAAAGATTGGTAATGTTCAATTAAAATATTCAAGTGTTTTACAAGCATATTTAAAAATTTTCGATTATAAGAAAAATAGTTTGAGAAATCCTAAAAATAAAATAAAAAAAATACCCTACTTTTAAATAAAATATTTGATTAGTTCCACCACAATGCTCACAGAATACATATTTTTACTTTCAAACGGCCTCCCAAATTATTAATTTTTTTTTTTTACAATTAAAATATTTCTATAATGCAGTCTGTCTGTGTATAAATCCATAATTTAATTCACGAGGCACGTAAAATATGGATTTTAAACGAAAAACGAACAAGACATTGCTAAGGGTTGCAAGGATTTAAACTCAGGATCTGAATACTGTATATATATATACACAAAATCACCACTAAATTCAAGAAGTTTGAATTAACAAAATTTTGTCACAACTAAAATTTTGGTTCTACTTAGTGCTCTTCATCTTCTTGGAACGTGTAATTTTGACATTTACTTGTCGGCAAACATTTCCCCTTCCAAGAACAAACTCAAACTCACATTTGTCATTTATTCTCAAGTTATGGCCCCTATAAAACTTGGGCCACCCAGAAGATATATTCATACGGTTCTGGCTGGTGGTACCGGCTGTGACCGGCCACAACTTCCCCTCTTCATCTCTAAGAACTATGTTTGGCTTCAGCGAGATGTTATGCTCCTCCACCACGCCTCTTGAAATGTACTGCAATTCAATTCAAAACCATAGTCATGAGAAATGCCATTTTCTCTTCAGCCAACATCACTCAACACGAGTACAAATGGAAACACCGTCATTTTGAGTTTTTGAGTTTAGTAGTGATTCATCATTATATCTAAATAGGAGATCCTGAGTTAAATCCTTTCCATGTCATTCTCATCATTTCTATATTGATAATACATGTGGGGTCTCATGAATCAATGTCCGAGTTCATATATGATAGGGATACTTGCATCTGCTTACTATATTGTTAGGAAGATTCTCAACTATATATATAATAGTTGTTAATAATAATCAAAATTTCATAACAAGAAAAGAAGTTTTTAGAGTACTAAACTCACAAGTGTACCAAGTGACCAACGTTTCATTATCCGCTCAAAGCACGGCCCTTTTGAGGGAACAATTTCTGTAGAATTTGAGGGGGGACTAGGAGGCTCCCTTAGATTTCGAGCTGAAGTTCTTCTTGATTTGTGGACTTTCTCTACAAGCACAGTTGAGGGGATTATAAATTAAACCAAGAGATCACATATGGAAGCAGGGACTGAGAAAATACGGGCGGGGCCATCTGGAGACCTTTTTGTATTTTGATTCTTGTGTTTTGTTTCTTAACTTTTTATAGGAAGAACATAACATGTTTCGTGATCATATCACATTTATTTTCTCCTTTTAACTTGAAGAAAAAGAGGATTGAAAATCATTCTTTAAGAAAAAGAAGTTTCACTTAAAATAATTTTCAACAAAATAATATACTAGAAATTTTAAGAAGCCATTTAGTATATTTTTTTACTGAATGTAATTTATGAGCTGAAAACAGTAAAAATAACAATCTCAACTTAGAAACACGACAAAAAGCAAGAACAAGAAACCGTTATTTTTCCTATTACCAAATGTTGCACAAAATTCTGTGCCTGTGTGCCATGTTTCAAACAAGTGAGAAACTAGATATAGATGGCACAACCAAAAGCACCTAATTTCCCAAAATAGAAAAATAGAAACAAGAAACAAATAACAACAAACCCAAGTACCACAAATAGCCCTAAGTTGAGAACGAAAGTAAATCAAAAAGTAGTCACCTGATCCAACTTGTAAGCACTTCCTCTTGCGAGAATGTAAAGGCTTGACATCTTCTCTATCATCCACAGGTTCTTGTTTGATCTCCATAATTGGAACAGAGTTGCCAGGTTCTGCTACCACAGCCTCCAAAATTGGAACAGAATTACCAGCTTCAGCTACCACTGCCTTCTTGCATCCATTTTTACCAAATATCTTAACATCAAACGTATAATGGCCATCATATTGGAAAATCAAGAAGTCTCCATATCTCAGAAAGTGGTAATCTACAAAAGCCTGCCAGCCGTTCTTGAAATACACAAGATCATCCAGTTTTTCCAATGTAACATGCCATGATTTTCCCATATAATCTTTAATGGTAGCTTTGTTTGGAAATGTTATTACATGTAAATGCTTCACAAAAGCCGGCGGTATGCTCTGGAAATAAGAGATGCGGAATGAAATTAGTACAGACAGAACGCTTTTTGCATCTTGCAAGAAAAATGAAAAGAAACAAATCATTCCACACAACATCTTGTACATGTTATTTAACAATAGCTTGTTTTCTAAACTAATTAACACTGCCAAATTTTAGGAAAATCAATCATTTATATGACCACAGGTCCGCATGAGCCTTTTATTTCTCTTCTAGTCCACAAAGATCAAAACGGTTCCCACAAAAAGTATATAATCAGTGAGTTAAAATGCCTATGTCAATGAAAATATTAAGTTCTCAAATTTATGAAAATGTCTACAAAAATATTGTTAGAAGGTCAATTTCGAGGGATACTCCAAGAAAGACTGCGGGGATTAGAAAAACTCAAATAAATTATTCGTAATTATATGACATATTGTCGAAAGAAAACGTTGTCCACACAAAAATATCGACATATTGACCGTGTATGACTTGAATTAAATCATTAACTCAAGCATGTCTGGACAGAAAGACAATCCTTAAAGAGGATCAAATGCATGTAATATGACCTAGTTTGTGTGGTAAATATTAAGTAATTTTTCACTCTATATTCAGTGCAATGCAATGCAGAATCCAACAATGGTCAAGATAGAGCAATCCAATCCCGAGTGTTTATTTTCCTAATAAAATAGCAAGAAACAGAGCCAACGGTCAAAATCCACAAATCAACTTAAAAAAAAAAAAAAAAAAAAAAGCACTGAAGTCTCTCGCGCTTCATTCCCACCCACCATACTCGAATAATGTCGGAATCGCAACCCCAAAAATTAAAAATCATAAAAACGCTAGGAAGAGAGAAAACAGGGGGGGGGGGCAAGGAGACCAGAACTTCTAATTTAGGGCAAAATGTGGATTAAACAGACAGGAACTGAGACGAGAGAACATTACCATATGCAGAGAGCCAGTGTCGGGAAGAAACACCTTGAAGAACTCAAGGCTAGAAGCGGCTTCGGTGCTGTTGTTCATTGTTGCCGCCATAGATTCCAGCGACGAATCAGACAACGCTGATAAGAACAGAGGAGAAATTTTGGTAATGAATCAGCGGAGACGAAGGCGTGAAGAGAAAGAAATTGGGGAATTTATGAAGATTCGGCTCGCCAAATTTTAGAGGGCACAGCCATGGATAAGCACATGCATGCAAGTCAGTCAGGTCAGGTGGGGGCGCATCTTTCTAGGGTTTTGGGTTTTTCTTTTTAAATACTATTTTCCATTCCTCTACCGTGTTTTTATTTTTCAGACCGTGTATTTTTAATAAATTTTAAAATTAATCTATTATCCAAAGAAAGACACGATGTGACAATAAAAATTATTTTATGATGTGGAATTTTCTCTTCATTCCTTCCTAACTCTCGCTTTTTAAGATTCTCAACAAAATAAAAAAAGAAAAAAAAACTCTCGTGTCACAGTGTCACATCACCCAATAAAATTATGTAAAAATTAATATATTGTTTTTAAATTCATTTGAAAATACTAACTCCGAAAAATCTAGTCCATGGTCATTTTTTACAGTAAAATGATGACCTGGAATATTTAGACAAACCTTTCAAACGTAAATGATTAAAAGTGTCGGATCAAAAAAAAATTGATTAAAAGTGTTTTCTTTATATATCTTGTGGGCACCTGAACGAATCTTATATTAGGTAGGTTCATCTTTAGAAGTCCAGCTCGTGAGGCATCCCTCTTGTAGTAAGGTTCCAAATCTCGCCTCGTTTTTGTGACATGTTATGTTTCCCATATTCATTCTCAAGTAAAGAGTGAGTCTCATGCGTAACTTTGTGGAGCACGGTCTCACGCACTAATCCCTACATAGAACTCTCTTGAAGTTTCAAAAATGTATTTTAAAACTTCATGAATCAAATAGATATCTACTTCAAATCTTAAAAACCAAAATTGTTCATTTTGAAACTTTCAGTACCAAATTGGCATCTACCCCTAACCTTAGCAAAAATATATTTTTCCCTAATTTTTGTTTGACTTGACAATAAAATATTAATAATTTATATTAAAAAGAAAGACATAACGTGAATATATTCTCAAAATTTTCATGATGACGACTTATTTTTAAAATATAACAAGGGGAAAATATACCAACAAAAATAGTATTTTAATATTTTTATCCCTAAATTATGCAAATTCTTGTAAGTGCAATTTCACTTCTTTTTTTAGTTTCAATTTCGCCTTCAACCCCCTAATTAAAAAAAAACATAAAACCGTATTACAATCATAATTTTTAAAATGTTAGGATAAATTGATTTTTTTTTCTTTTTAAATTACGGTTAAATTGAAATCAATTTTTTTTTTACTACAACAAATGAATGAGAGATCGAACTTATGCTCTCTTAGTTAGAGATAGATATCAATTAGTTCATATTGGTACTTGGAAGTAAAATTGAACCGAGAAAATGGCATAATATGCCGATATAGATATTAGATAATTATAACTTTCCACCTCATCATTCTAATTTTTCTTCTGTACTCTATGATAAAAATGATCATACTTTTGCAATTGTAGAGCATATCCCTCCTCTTGGCATCTAACTAATATAATTTGAAATATGAATTCATGTAGTGCCATGTGAAAACTCTCTCTGCCACAGCCGACCCAATTCCAACTAGTGCACAAAACAGAATCATCCCAATTTGATTTCTGCAGAGATTCCTGCCCAAAGACCAAAAAATCTTCTTCCTCTGAAGAAATCAGAGGCCCCAACAGAAACTTTCCAGTTTAGGAGAAACAAGAAAACAGAGTCCAGAAAGAAAAGAAAAAGGGCCAACACCCTTTGAAAACCATTATATTTCCTTCACTGAGAATGAGAGAGAGGAAGTAGCAAAATAGTGGTTTTGTTCTTAAAAGAGTAATGAAAATGAAAACGAAAATCAGAAAGAGCACTGAGAAAACCAAATCCCTTGTCATTTTAGTTTAAAATCAACTTCTGATGAAGAAAAGTCCTCCAAGTTCAACCAAAATGGCCTCTCCTCCTCACTTTTTCAGGATGGTTTTGCAGAAAAGTCTTGAAGACAAACAGTTGGTAAGAATTCATCAGACTCTTGCTTCTTCATTTTTCTTCTGAGTACACATTTTAAAGAAAGTTCCCATTTTTATATCATTTTATCCATCCCCATTAAACATGTAGATCCGACACTTTAACCATTCCCAATAAACAATCAGAAAACTCACTCTGCTTGTTTCCAGATGATTCCAAAAAAGTTTGTTCAAGAATATGGGAAGTTTCTGTCAAGTTCCGTACGTCTCAAGCTTCCTGATGGTAAGGAATGGAAAGTGGGCTTAAAGACCGCCACAAACGGTGCCGTTTGGCTGCAAAATGGCTGGCATCCATTTGCAGAGTACTATTGTTTAGAGTTTGGTTCGATGTTGGTTTTTAGACTCGATGGAAATTCGACTTTCCATACATTAATATTCGATGCAACTGGATCAGAGATTGAATATTCTTTCAACTTTAACCATTTTGAAGGAGATTTTAAAGAGGAGAATGATGCTAATTATTCTGATGAAAGTCTGAAGAATTTTTCTCCACATCCAGAAAAGAGGGAGAATGCCTCATTTCCCTGTTGGCAGCCTCATAAGAGGATGAAAAATGAAGCTTCATTTTCCCGCAAAATGGAACCTCAAGGTACCAATATTTTGATTTTTTCAGAGATTTTCCTTTCAAAAAACTTGTTTAAATCCGACCAGAAAAAAATTTGCTTAAGACACATTGAGTTTATGTCTGCAAAAATCTGTGTATCATTAACTGGTGTATCATAATATGCAGATCAAGAATGCTGTATTCTAAGGGAGAAGCCGAGTTGTAAGAGAATCCCAGAAGATGGGGTTTCAAGGAGAAGGCAGCCATTATCATCTACAGCCGAGAATGCTGAAAAACCTCAAAGATTCAGCGGTTCAAAATCAGAGAAACCTGGTTTCAGAATTGTTATAGGAAAATCAAGTCCAGGAGGCAGATTAAAAATGGTATGTTTTCTCTGCTTGATCAAAAACCCCCCATTTCTTTCGTGTTTTTGCTGGAAATAAGCCTTTTTTTTTTCCTTGTAGACCATTCCTAAAGACTTTGCACAAAATTATTTACCCGAAGAGGTTGGAAGAATCAGAATTCAGACTTTAGATGGTGGAAGTTGGTCACTTTTGTACAAATGGAGTCCAAGCCGAGGAGGTTTTGCTTATATTTCAAGAGGGTGGAAGYGCTTTGCAGAGGAAAATCTCTTGAAAAAAGGAGATGTTGGATTCTTTCAAATGATTGAAAAAGATCAATTTTTATTCACCATAGAAGAGACCTCTGCCTCTGCTTCCCATTCGCCAAAGAATAATGCTGCAACTATCAGAAATCCATTCTTTGAAGTTGATGTTTGCTTCAAAAGCTACCAATGTTCGACTCTGGTAAATTCCTTTCCCTTTTTTCACTGCCAAATATCTTCTATTTTGTGTTTGAGTATTGATAGAACTTGTGTTATTCACTTTCGGGTTTAACGTTAGCTAGTTTAATATGGTATCATATAGTCTTCTCATATAATGCCATTTGCCTTCCAGTCCATATCAATAGTCATTTGCTAAGCTTTGTACTAATCTTTGAGCTTACGAGTTCATTTACTCTCCAATTAATATTGTTGAGAGGAAAATTTGGCATGAAAGTTGAACCACGTACATGTTATTTGATGGGCAGAACATTCCAATGGGGTTCGCGAAGAAGCATCTTTCACCAGTAGTGCACGGTGCGAGGCTTGAAGTAGGGCAAAAGCAATGGAATGTGAGGATTAAGAATTACGAGAAGTGTATGAGATTCACATCTGGGTGGGGCATATTTCATAGGGAAAATTGCTTGCAAGATGAAGATACTTGCATATTTGAGCTGCTCAACAAGAATGATTCACACTGTGCTTTCAAAGTTACCATTTTTAAGAAAGCTACTTCCTCAGTGGAGGAAATATAATGGTTTTCAAAGGCTGTTGCTCTTTTCTCTTTTCTTTCTGGACTGTTTTCTTGTTTCTCCTAAACTGGGAAGTGTCTGCAACATTTCTTGAGAGGAAGATGCTTGCTTTTTGGTCTTTTTTGTTTCTTGGGCAAGAATCTCTGCAGAAATTATATTGGTATGATTCTGTTTTTACTTGCAGCAGTTGGAAACTGGGAATTGGGTCGGCTGTGACAGAGAGTTTTCATACGGCACTACATGAATGATGAATATATATTTTTTAAATTATATGTACTAGTTACATGACAAGAGGAGGGATCTGTTTTGCAATTGCAAAAGTATGGTAATTTTTATCATAGAGTACAAAAATTGTCAAGTCTTCTTATTTTCGAAACTAGAAAAAGCAAAACAAAAGCCCCATTTTCTTCTTGTATATTTTGTTTACTCAAAAGTTCACTAAATACAGTTATAGAGATTTTATAATCTAGATTGTGTTATTCTCTACTGCATTACCCAAGAGTTGGGAATAAAGCCACACAGAAAAAGAAGAGACCAGAAATCCACAAAGAAGAGCATTTAAACTTGTAATATTATCTTTAGCTTGACCAAACGAACACCATGAGAATAATCTAGACTGCCCTTCAAAAGGTTATAAAGGAAAAGAAACCTTAAACTTAATTTAGTTACTGCCTTAGCTTGACAGAAACCTGATAGAGGATACAAAATGAAGGGCACTGGCCAACAAATTAAACCAAAAAACACCATACTCCACCAACCTTACGATAAGCTTAACTAACAAAAATGAGAGGAACTGAATTGCAGAATCCAACTGGCTGTTCACTTCTCTGTGTTTTCCCGCATTACAAATCTGAAACCATGGGCTGTTAGTGACTTTCTGAGAGAGAGGAAGTAGCTTTCTGGAAAATGGTGACTTTGAAAGCACAGTGAGAATCATTCTTGTTGAGCAGCTCAAACATGCACGAATCTCCATCTTGCAAGCAGTTTTCCCAGTAAAATATGCCCCACCCAGAAGTGAATCTTATACACTTCTCGTAATTTTTCATCCTCACCTTCCATTGCTTTTTCCCCACTTCAAGCCTCGCACTGTGGATTACTGGTGAAATATGCTTCTTCGCAAACCCCATTGGAATGTTCTGCCCATCAAATGACATGTATATGGTTCAACTTTCGTGCCAAATTTTCCTCTCAACAATATTAATTGTAGAGTAAATGAACTTGTACGCTGAAAGATTAGTACAAAGCTTAGCAAATGATTATCAATATGGATTGGAAGGCAAATGGCGTTATATGAGACGACTATACGATACCATGTCAACTAGCTAACGTTAAACCCAAAAGTGAATAACACAAGTTATATCAATATTCAAACACAAAAAAAAAGATATTTGCAATGGAAAAGGGAAAGGAATTTACCAGAGTCGAACATTGATAGCTATTGAAGCAACATCAACTTCAAAGAATGGATTTCTGGTAGTTGCAGCAGTCTTCTTTGGCGAAAGGGAAGCAGAGGCAGAGGCAGAGGTCTCTTCTATGGTGAATAAAAATTGATCTTTTTCAATCATTTGAAAGAATCCAACATCTCCTTTTTTCAAGAGATTTTCCTCTGCAAAGCRCTTCCACCCTCTTGAAATATAAGCAAAACCTCCTCGGCTTGGACTCCATTTGTACAAAAGTGACCAACTTCCACCATCTAAAGTCTGAATTCTGATTCTTCCAACCTTTTCGGGTAAATAATTTTGTGCAAAGTCTTTAGGAATGGTCTACAAGGAAAAAAAAAAAGGCTTCTTTTCAGCAAAAACATGAGAGAAATGGGGGGTTTTTATCAAGCAGAGAAAACATACCATGAAGAATCTGCCTCCTACAGTTGATTTCCCCATAACAATTCTGAAACCAGGTTTCTCTGATTTTGAACCGCTGAATCTTTTAGGTTCTTCAGCTTTCTTGGTTAGAGATGTTAACGGCTGTCTTCTTGAAACCCCATCTTCAGAAATTTTCTTACAACTCGGCTTCTCCCAGAAAATATAGCATTCTTCTGCAGATTATGATGCACCAGTTAATCCACAGGTTTTTGCAGATATAATAATAAAATCAATTTGTCTTGAGCATTTTTTTTTAATTTAGTATACGTGAACTAAGAACAGCTCTTACAACTGAACATTTATACTTAGAGAAAGTCTAGAACTTAATTCTAACCAACTGCTTTAGTTCTTAAAGTTGTTTCCAGCTCAGTAAGACAGTGATATAAATAGGGGGAAAATACTTCAAAAAACGAAAATCTCTTAAAGAATCAAAATTTATGTACCTTGAGGTTCTGTTTTGGGTTCCATTTTGGGGGAAAATGAACCTTCATTTCTCATCTTCTTTGGAGATTGGCTAGATGGAAATGAAGGCTTCTCCCTCTTCTTAGAATGTTGGGGAAAACTCTCCAAACTTTCATCAGAATCATCATCACTCTCTTCTTGAAAATCTCCTCCAAAATCCTTTAAGTCGAAAGAATATTCGATCTCCGATCCAGTTGCATCGAATATTAGTGTGTGGAAAGTCGACTTTCCATCCAATCTAAGAACCAACATCGATCCATGCTCCAAACAATAGTGCTCCGCAAATGTATGCCAGCCATTTCGCAGCCAAACGGAGCCGTTTGTGGCGGTCTTTAAGCCCACTTTCCATTCCATACCATCGGGAAGCTTGAGACATATGGAACTTGACAGAAACTTTCCATAGTCTCTTACAAACTTCTTCGGAATCATCTGAAAAAACGAAGAATGAGTTTGGTTAAACTTCCCACAAGCTCTATATTCAATCTGGGTTTTGACATTTATGAATCACAGAGTATATCACTCACACTCTTCACTTACCAACTGTTTGTCTTCAATACTTTTCTGCAAAACCATCTTGAAAAAGTGAGGAGGAAGAGGAGGAGAGGCCATGTTGACTGAATTTGGAGGACTGTTCTTCATCAGAACTTGATTTTAAACTGAAATGACGAGGGCTTTGGGTTTATCAGTGCTCTTTCTGATTTTTGTTTTCGTTTCCGTAACTCTTTTATGAACAAAATCACTATTTTGCCCACCAATTAATGGTGTTGTGCTGCTCAACAAGATTGATTCTCACTGTGCTTTCCAAGTTATCATTTTCAAGAAAGCGAACTCCTCTCTCTGTCTCAGTGGAAGAAAAAATAATGGTTTCCAAAAGGGTGTTGTCCTTTTTTCCTTTCTTTCAGGACTCTGTTTTCTTGTTTCTCCTAAACTGGAAAGTTTCTGCGGCCTCTGTTTTCTTCATAGGAAATGTTCTTTTTTTCCCTTTTTAGGCACGAATCTCTTTAGAAATTAAATTGGATGATTCTATTTTTACTTGCAGTAGTTGAACTTGGAGGACTGCCCTTTTTTATCTTCGTTTTCTTTTCTTTGTTCTTCTAAGAACAAAATCAAACTACAAACTGAAAGGCTTATGTCTCCTTGCTTCCTATCTTTCTGAAAATAACCCAAAATATAGTTTAACGTGGAAGCCACATTAATAGCTTGTAATTCAAATAAAAAAAAAAAAAGAAAAAAAGAACAAAGCATTTCAAACTCAGCTATCAAACCAATTGGCCAAAATCTTTCTTTTACAAAAATACTCATACCAAATATCTGCAACATCCTCTGAACAAAAGAAAAGCCTACAGAAACTTGCCTTGTTCTAAACAATAATAAAAGGCGAAGCTTTTGCAAATAACATTACAGATATTTAGTCAACTGAGACAGGATGGAACTTTGCTGCAAATGGTAACTTTAAAAGCACAGTGGGAGTGATTCTTGTTCAGCAGCTCAAAAAAGCATGTATCTTCATCTTCCAAGGCATTGTCCCTGCAAAATGCAGGCCACCCAGCTGAGAATCTGATACCCCTCTGGTAATTCTTCATGATCACCTTCCATTTTTTTTCCCCAACCTCAAGCCTCGCAGTATGCATTTCTGGTGAAAGATGTTCCTTCATAAACTCCATAGGAATTCTCTGCCCATCAAACATCATATATGCTTCAACTTATATGCAAGCTTTTGCTTTTCCCCCCATAAATTTAATCTCTTGTTTGATTCTCAAAATTGAAATTAACAGTTTGGACTCAAAATTGAAACAACTTAAAAATGATTTCCCCCCAAATTAATCACTCAATCCATATTTTTAACACAAACATACTTAGAAGTGAAAAAAGGAAGAGTTACCATCGAATTTCTACCCAATCGAACATCAACTTGGAAGAAGGGATTTCTGGTAGTTGCAACTTTCTTCTTCGGCAAAAGGGAAGGAGAAGCAGAGGTACTACAGATGCTCTTCTCTTGTTTTGAGAATAAAAGTTGATCTTTTTCGATGAGTTGAAAGAACCCAACATCACCTTCTTTCAACAGACTTTCTTCTACAAAACGCTTCCACCCATCTGAAATATAAGCATAATCTCGCACCTGGGTTCGACTCCATTTGTACAAAAGAGACCAACTTCTACCATCTGAAGTATGAATTCCAATGGTTCCAAACTCCTCCACTAAATACTTGTCTGCAAATTTTTTAGGAATCGTCTACAAGAAGAAAAAAACAAATAAGCTTCATCTTCTCAACAAAAACACAAGAGATGATTTCCTTCTGATCAAGCAGAGAAGATGTACCATATTGCATCTTCCTGTGACGTATGATTTCCCCATGACAACTTTGAAACCAGGTTTCTCAGATTTCAAATTGCACAATCTTTGAGGCTCTTCAGCTTTCTTGGCTGTTCCTGTACATGATAATGGCTGCCGTCTCCTTGAAACCCCATCTTTCCTGTAAATATAGCATTCTTCTGCAGCTGCAGATTACATTACACCAGTTAATCCACAGGTTCTTGCATATATAATATAGATTTATCCGAAATAGTTACCTTCAGGTTCCATTTTGGGGAAAAATAAGCCTTCATTTCTCATCTTCTTACGACAGGGAAATGAAGGCTTCTCCTTTTCAAAATCTCCACTAGAATCATCAAAGTTGCAACGATATTTAATTGTTTGGAATAAAAGTTTGTCTCTTTTTATGAGTTGAAAGAACACAACATCTCCTTCTTTCAACCGATTTCCCTCTGCAAAACGCTTCCACCCATCTGAAATATAAGCATAATCTCGCACCTGGCTTCGACTCCATTTGTACAAAAGTGACCAACTTCTACCATCTGAAGTTTGAATTCCAATGCTTCCGAATTCCTCCACTAAATACTTCTCTGCAAACTCTTTAGGAATTATCTACCAGAAAAAAAAATTATATATTTATATCATATTGTCAGCAAAAACTTAAATAAGTTACATGGCTGTTCTCCTCATTGTCGATTGATTTTATGATGAAACTTATAAATATTAAGAGTTCTTGATCGAGAAAAGAGGACTATACCATAGTGAATCCTCTTCCTACATTTGATTTCCCCATAACAACATTGAAACCAGGTTTCCCAGATTTCAAACTGCTGAATCTTTGATCTTCATCAGCTTTCTTGGTTGTGGATGATAGTGCCTGCCTTCTCCTTGAAACCCCATCTTCTCGCATTCTCTTACAACTTCGCTTCTTCCTATTAATATAGAATTCTTCTGCAGATTATATAACCCATCTAAATATGAGCACAGATTCAACGATCAAATTTACAATAACTATTAATTTTCGAGTAGAATGATAGTTTGAATCAAAATAAACTTTCATTCCTCATCTTCTTACGACAATGAAATGATGGCTTCTCCCTCTGTTTTGAGTAATTAGCATCATCCTCCTCTTCAAAATCTCCACTGGAATCATTAAAGTTGCAACGATATTTAATCTCGGACCCAGTAATATCAAATATGGTTGTGTGGAAAGTTGAGCATCCGTCGAATCTAAAAACCAACAGTGAACCAAATTCCAAACTGTAATGCTCTGCAAATGGGTGCCAGCCGTTCTGAAGCCAAACGGCGCCATTTGCTGCGGTCGTTAATCCGATTTTCCATTCCATGCCATCGAGAAGTCTGAGACGTACAGAAGTCGATAGAAACTTCCCATAATCTGTGACGAACTTCTTCGGAATCATCTGGNAAAAACAGAGCGTCGTATATTGAAATGTGTTCAGAGAGGGAAAACAGTGAGTGAAAGAGGAAGATTGTGAGTTGTTACCAGCTTTTTGTGCTCAAGATTTCTCTGCAAAACTATCTTGAAAAACTGAGGAGGATTTAAAATTATGTTGGAACAGAGAGGAGGAGGATCAAAAGAAGCCATTTGGGTTGGAGGATTGTTCTTCAGAAGAACTTGATTTGGTTCTGCTGAATTGCTATGTGGGAATTGGAACGGCCCGTAAATCTAGAGAGGGCTATACAGATTTTAAAAACTAAAATTATGATGAGGGGTTTGTGGTTTCTCAATCGACGTATTGTTTTTCATTTTCTGTTCATCAATTTCTAATAAAACGTGTAGAGCTGGGCTTTAAAAATTTTTTATATTAATTATAATTCTAATTTGTTTTCCCACTATCCCTTCATAATTAACCCTAACCCATGTGTATAGTTGTTAATGTCTATTTAGTTTTTTTTAGAATAATTTTATTTTCTCTCCTTTTAAGTACTAGGTTAGGAATTCGAACTCATCCCCTTAATTAATTTTGTTGCGTTTATTATTTTGATATTTATTTTTTTAAAATGTGTTAACCCATACTAATTTGTAATTTTTTTTTCTTTTACGGTCTTATTTCATTTAAATGATAAATAATAAATAATAAAGTAAAAACCTACAAAATCGTGTCCAGAGTGTCATATTAGAATGATATTTAAAAAATCTCCATTGTTATCAAAATTTACAAATATAGATTTTGAGATTTAAGTTTAAGAGTTTTTTTTTTCTCCGAATTACTTTCAATATATACCATCTTATTATATTTAGGATTTAGGATTAATATATTGATAGTCTATTTAGAGATCATAATTACATAAAAGAATTAAAGGTATAAAAATTAGACTTTTGTTATGGAACAATCTCATTTAAGATATCCATAACCCAATTTTACTCGTCTTTTCTATCTCCAACTTAATATTAGTTAATTTTTAAAATCCAAAATTGTTACATTTAAATCCCTTAAATTTTGTATTTCCAAAAAGTAAAAAATACCAAATCCTCAAAATCCTCCATTATTGAAAAATTTCGAGAACCCCTCCTTCCTTCCTCCAATTTTTCTTCTTCCTCTCTCGTTCAGTTCGAAGACTGCTCCGTTCCTTCATCTCCAGTCGTCTGCGTTCTTCCGTCTCCCTTCGTTGTTAGCGTTCTTCGTCTTCATCCCTCGTCTGCACTCTTTCGTCTCCGGCCGTTGTATCCGTTTTCTTTGTCATTGGAGCAGTCTGTTTAGCTTCTCCTTCGTCTCCTTCATGTCGCCGACTGAAAGGTTAGTTTGTCTCACTGTATTTTGCATTCTAATATATCCTCCACGTTTTCGATTCCAGATTTGAACAAGGTTGAAAACCCATGTTTTTTTTCTTTTAATCGTTAAACCCCTTCCATACCCATATATCTTAAATGGTTTTTTTTTTCTATTTCTGATTTTGTACAGTTTTCTATTTTTGTAGATTTCAGTTGTGCAAAATTTAGGTGTGAACTAGTGTATATATGGGTATATATCTTATAGTGAGTTTGATTCCATCGATTTGTATATATGAGTATATATGGGGATATATCTTATCAAAACATTCACTCAAACAGTAAGGTAGGGAACAAGGGGAAATTAAAGGTTAGGGAGGAGATGAACCTGTTGAATAAGGGGAAATCTTTACGGTAAATTAAAGGATTAGTGTTGAAAATTTATATGGATCTATCATAATTAAAGGATTATAATCTTTTACATTTAGAAAAAAAACAAATAACTATAATAAATGTAAAGGCAATAAATAAAAGTAAAATCGACATTAAAATAAAATCCTAGAAATCTAAAAGTGTAAAATTGAAAAACTTTGTGTAAATAAGTTTCTAAAACAGCCATAAACATTAACTCTTATATTTATTATATATTTTAAAAATATATTTTTTCTTAATTAATTAACGGTCATTTATTGCTAATATTTATATTTATTTTTAAACATTTATATTTTAATAAATTATTCAACAAATATAGAAAGCAATCAATGCAATTATTCTTGGGATGTTAATTACCAAAATTCTCAAAAGAATTGACCAAATTTGAGATTTCATATTTTACTAAACTCGCCAATTTGGATGGTTCATCTCGACAGCTGAAACCTTCGTATATTCGAGTTTATGTTTTCAAACATTTGGGTGACTTTACTCCACCATCTCGGCAGCTTTTTCTATTTTTCCGACGACCCATCCATTTTTTCGCAGCGTATTTTTATTTCGTTCCATTCTTTTCACCGGCATCCTTCCGCATTGCCTAGCGGCTCTACTTTTTTGAAGGGATTATTATCGTTTTACGTAGGGGACCCCTCCATTCTAATTGGTATATCATGAAAAAAGAAAGCCATTTGCACCAGGCGCACTGCGCTTTCCCTTGCCCAGATGTTCGCCTTTCTCAGTCTTGGAAAGCTGACCAGCCGGCGATCCATTAGTTTTTCTGTCAGATTCAATTTCATTCTATTAATTTTTCCAACGGCTTAATTTCCTTTTCCCAACAACTATATATATATATACTTTTTAATTGTTACAGTATTTAAGTGGGGAGGGGTGAGGTGGTTCTTCCGTGGTGTTTTTTTTTTCCCCTGGTAGTAAGTAATATGGATCTAAATATGGCAGAGACATCATTCCTATCTGGTTTCTGTGATGGTGGATAGTGGTTGGGTGTTGGGATCTCTCCGTTAGATGTTGACCATGTTGGTATGACCGACAAAATCAAAACCAACATTGTTATGTATGATTTGTGGCTTAATCATTTTGGAATTTTTAAGAGTTATCGGACACAAAATTTGAAAGGGCACCTGTCTGCGATCTCTTGAGATGACTCTTCATCTCCATTTCATCTTGGTTCATAGAACTTCCATGGTCCAAGAGCAAGTAAGACGAAGCAGGAGGTGTGCAATGACGAAGGTGCAACGGCAATCGGTTCAAACATCGTTTTGGAATCTGGGGAGGCTATCAGTCTTAATTGTATTAAGATTTGTGACCAGCAAGATTTAGGAAATTTGTCTAATCCTTCCTTACCTGTCATGGTGGAGAATAAAACTTTGGAGGCAATTATTTCCCTTCCAATTGTGAATAGGGGTGTCTTAATTGACAAGGTACCTCAATTAATTGAGGATTCTCCCCCAACAACTTTTGAGAAGTGTTAAGTGGTCTAAAATTTGTTCATATTCCTAGTTTTTTGAATAGACAAGCTGTTTTATTGACCAAGCGTGCCATTTGTTATGGTTTCTATGTCCATTGGGATAATTGTTTTCCTTCATGGATTGTGATGGCGATGTATGGTCACCACTCTTCAAGTGTAACCCTTAGTGGTATTATTTCTAATTAATGCAATGTTTCTTTGTTTCAAAAAAAAATTATTTTAATAATCTGCATTAGTTTGCCTTTTATCGTCCTTTTACATTATTAGGTCATTTTGTCTTTTATAAATAATTCGATTCTTGGTGTTATCTTACTTGATACATCAGACATCCTATCATTCAAGACTTTTCTTCATAATAAATTCCACACTAAAGATTTAGGAATGTTGAAATACTTCCTAGAAATTGAAGTAATAAAAAACAAGAAGGGAATTCTCTTGTCACAAACAAGAAGGGCTAAAAACTGCATAGCGGAGGGGAAAATTCTTGGCCTAAAATTTGGTTGTTTACTGTTAACAATATCCTTTAATTGTTTATTTAAAATATCTAACAATGGACATTAATGTCATTTCTATGAGCTTCCTCATAAATGGGCCTAATTTTAGACGACATTATAAATTGGGGCAACTGCAGTAATCTACCAAATTTAATAACATTTTAAAAAATGGTCAAATCAATATTACAATAATGATTAAATGACTTTTTTTCTCTTAATATTGAAAAAATGTTAAGACAAATATACCATATAACCAATTAAGTATATATGCAGCCAAACCAAGCATACTCAAATGGTTAAGACATCTATTTCTGACCAAGAAGTCATAGAAGATTTATAAATAATGGACATTTTCTTAACTTAGTTGCCAAATTTAGCCAGTTACTTAAATTTTCCTCCGTAAATTTATGTACTTTTTTAACATTTGTGTAATTGAGATCCCAAAATAGGCACCTTAAACTTGCACAAGGAGCAAATAAAAAAATGATTGATTATAATTTAAACAAATCATATATATAATCTTTAATCTTAATCTATATCTATATAACCCGTAATCTATACTTTGTAGTCTATAGTTCTTACATAATCTATAGTCTATTAAAAAGCTAACATTTTTTTTTATCTTTTAAGTCCTATCAGAATTTTAATATAGTAAACATGCCATTTTTATTTTTAATAACTTTAATAATAGGGCTCTACTTATTTATTTCTAATAATTTATGATTAATTGAAAAATTAATAATGGAATTTAAAGGGTGTTGGAATCCAAAAAGTTTTCCAACTTATCCATCCCTACATGTTTATTCTTGATTTTATAGATTTAATAGCATCATATTACACCTGGCGTAGTACATTGGATATCAAAACTTATTTTGAAATACAGGTATGTGTGAAAAGTTATAATTACTCACCAATTACCTAGTGACATCTTTTAATCTTTTATTGATGCTAGTAAAAAAATAATAAAACATTACATACACGAGATAATAGACTTGTATATATATAAATCTGCCTTGTATTGGCAAGATATAAAACAATAGCCAGCCATATGCATATAAGAGAGTATGATCTAGCTAATCATCCAACAGACAACTCGTGTGCTACAAAGAAATTTACATTAATTAGTTTCCCAATCTGATCTCCATAAATCCATACAAACTAATTACTGCTGTATCATAGGAAACTTCACTAAAATACAACGTTAACACAAAAACAAATCTCTATGCAACCAATCCCCAAAAAAAGGACAAAACATTACAAGTCAACCGTATTTTCAGTGCAGAGATTCGTCCCAAAAAAAAAAAGGCATCTTCCTCTGAAGAAAACAAAAGCCTGCACAAACTTCACCTTCTTCTACCAAATTTCTAATACATTTTCAACAGAGGCAGTAATTTTCCTGAAAATGGTAACTTTAAATACAAAGTGAGAGTGATTCTTGTTGAGCAACTCAAATAAGCAAGTATCTCCATCTTGCAAGGCATTGTCCCTGTAAAAGGAGCACCACCCGGCTGAGAATCTGAAACACCGATCGTAATTTTTCATGCTCACCTTCCATTTTTTGCCTCCCAACTTAAGCATCACAGTGTGAGTTCCTGGTGGAATATGCTTCTTCCCGAACCCCATAGGAATGTTCTGCCCATCGAACAACATCGTCGTTTAAATGTTAAACTATCATTGAACCCAACAGCTTGAAAGCTTGTTGATAAGTAGGATAAATCTAAGCTTTTGCCCCTAGTTCTGTCTTAATAAATCTCTAAACTTTCAAAAGTGATTTTAATCTTTGTTTGACTTTGACCCATTAAAGTTTAGAAACTCATATTTTACTGTTAACTTGTGTGCGTGAAAATTAACATAAGACCTAACAAGTGAAATTACAGGAATTCAATCGTTCTCTTGCTCGATTACCGTGTGACAATACCATTCAACTCCAAAGTTTAAACTAGCAGAAAAAAGAGAATTTTACCAGAACCGTGCTCCTGTAGCTCACGAAGTGAATATCGACTTTGAAGAAGGGATTTGTGGCAGTTTCAGCTTCCTTCTTTGGTGAAAGGGAAGGAGAGGTAGAGGGAGAAGTCTCTTCAGTGGTGAATAAAAATCGGCCATTTTCAATGAGTTGAAAGAACCCAACATCTCCTACTTTCAACAGATTTTCCTCTGCAAAACACTTCCACCCACTTGAAATGTAACTGAAAGCATAAGCACGGCTTCGAGTCCATTTGTATAGAAGTGGCCAAGTTTTGCCATTTGAATTTTGTACTCTGATGATTCCAAACTCCTCAGCTAAATATTTCTCCGCAAATTCTTTAGGAATAATCTACAAGAACAAAAAAGGCTTCACCTTTTCAGCAAAATGTAACGAGGGCTGTGGAGTAAATTAGAAGTGCTTTTGGGATTTTGATTCAAGTAGAGCTTACCAAGTTAAATCTACCTCCAACGTTTGATTTCCCCATAACAACTTTGAAACCAGGTTTTTTCTCAGCTTTCTTGGCTGGAGATGACAATGGCTGCCTTCGATTTGAAACCCCATTTTGTGCCATTCTCTTACAACTTGGCTTCTCCCTAGAAATATGGCGTCCTTCTGCAAAGATAATAACAGTAGTTAATCCAAGTTTCAAATGGTAAAAACACATTTTAAGAAAACTGAACTGAGTTTTCGAAGAGAGAAATTTTGGTACCTTGAGGAACCATTTTGGGGGAAAATGAACCTTCACTTCTCATCTTCTTTCGAGATTGACTAGAAGGCAACGAAGGCTTTTCCCTCTTCTTAGAATGTTGGTGAAAAATCTCAAAACTTTCATCGGAATCATCATCACTCTCTTCTTGAAAATCTCCCCCAAAATCGTTAAATTTGAAAGAATATTCGATCTCTGATCCACTTGGCTCGAATATCAGTGTTTGGAAAGTGGAATTTTCATCCAGTCTAAGAACCAACATCGACCCATGTTTTAAACGGTAGTGCTCCGCAAATGGATGCCAGCCATTTTGCAGCCAAACGGCGCCGTTTGTGGTGGCCTTTAAACCCACTTTCCATTCCTTACCGTCGGGAAGCTTGAGACGCACGGAACTTGACAGAAACTTCCCATATTCTTCAACAAACTTTTGTGGAATCATCTGGAAAGAAACAGAGCAATCTGAAGTTTTCCCATTGTTGTAAAAATTTAAAAGTTTCGTTTTTTTATAAAAATGAGAACTTAAAGAGCTGGGTACTCTCGGATTCCTTCTTTCTCTCAAAGGACGAATATGAAAAGGCCAAAAACATAACATTAAGGGAAAAAATCATATGAATGAGCGACAGAGAAAAGTGTTTACCAGTCTCTGGTCTTCTAGATTCCTCTGCATTACAATTTTGAAGAAATGAGGAGAAGAAGACGACATTTTTTTTTTTTACTTTTTCCACCCAAGCTCGAAGTTGAAGAGATTTTGAAACTCTGTGGAAGAAATTTTAGTGAAATATAGGATGGGGTTTCAAAATTTCTGCTGGGACGTGCGGCGTCGTTTCGTTTCTCAATGGGGAAATTCTTCAGAAAGGAGACTTTTGGGTCACGCTATTGAATTTTGGTGGCTCTGAATCGACGAAGTTGGGGAAAAAGAAAAACTATTTTATCTGGTCAGAAATTAGAAACGTTTTAAATAAATGAAGCTTATTAAATTTTGTTGGATTGTGTTTACAAATGTGTAGTTTTAATGTAAAAACCAGTTCAATTCACCTATCATATTAGGATTATCCAATTGAATGTGTGTCAGAATATTTACCAAAAAATTTTATAAGTCAAACAGCCCAAATTAAACAAATTTAGACTTTTTAATCTCATTAATATACTTTGATTGATTGGTTTAGTTGGAAGGCTTAAGTTAATTTTCAAGGTAAAAGGCATCAATCCTTTTTTTTTCTTTTGTAACTTAGCATTATTTTCAATAATTTTTGGAATAATCATTAACTTCAGAAGAATTATAAATCATTCATGAATAAGAACAATAGAATTAATAAGAGACTTGATAATCTATCAACAATGTAAATGAATTATTTGTAATAAGCTTGTTATTTAGAAACATAACATTTAAAATAAATTACTAAGACTCAGAAATAAAATTAAGCTAATTCAATACCTTGTGAAAAGTTTCCTATCCTCAACATCCCCACGTTTCAAGTCATCGTACTTTGCCGAAAGCCAAAACGAGGTTGTGAGTTCGATCACCTATCCTCACATGTTATACTCGGAAAAAAAAACCACGATCCTTTGCAAACTTCTTCCATCCACAGAAAATATAGGCATAGTTTCCTGATTTGGACCATTTTCTGAAGAAAATATCTCTTCGGACACAAATGATATCGAGATCACCTAAATCAATACATGCAACACACATAACGTGAATCATCTATGTCAAATCGATTAAAATAAGACAAGCTCAATTACCAAAAAAGAAACAAAAGTATTTTCATGATCATATCCTTTCCAATCTTTATAATATCATCTCCCAATATAATTATAAGATATTAAACATGATTCCTGTTTCTTTTTCTTTTTTTACCCTCTAAATGTGTTTTTATCACTTACCAATGTGTATTTATGATATAAGTATGATTGTCGCATAACAATCTTCAACATAGAAGGATCCTCCAGAGTTTTTCTAAGCTTCAACCTTTTCAATATTTCCCTCTGCAAATCATATATTTTGAGCTTCTGTTAGAATAGCTATGCCCCAAAATAGAAAGCATATAAAATTTCATAGGATCCAAATTGAAATATATTCATTATTTCAAATATTTCCAAAATAGATATATACCGTCGAATTCAAATTTAGGATGACCAAAATATGTTTTTTCGCTTAAATCATGTTGCTGAATGCCTTTTTTGTTGCAGTGTCAAGTTTGAGATCCTCTACCAATGTAAAGTTTAAGTCCATATACCACTGCAAGGATATCCAAATTAGCTATACATTTGTACATATATATATTCAATACCTTCAATAATCTCAATAGAATCACCATCTTGAAATTGTTCACCAACTTTAAACTTGCATCCATGAGAAAAAGCATTGGAATGATATTCTATTTCTAATCAGATTGCAGAATACCGTTACACAAAATCTAGAATTCCCATCATATCTAAAAACCAAAAGGGAAACCATGTTCTGAAAGAGAGGAAGTTTTCAAATTCATGCCACCCCTTTGTTATTTAGACAAACCCAAGCCATTTTTTGAACTGGTTAATTACTTAATTAATTCTACCTTCCATTCTGATTTTGCATTTTGGTCTTACAAATATTGGACTTGATAAAACTTCTCCACATTGACTAACGAACTTTCTTGGAATCATCTGTGGGAGAGGGGTTTTTTTTTCCCCTTTTATCAGTCCCAATATAAACCAAAATTTTCAAAAACCCAAATATGAAAATAATAATAATAATAAACTTTTTGGACTTTCTTCCGGAATTTTTTAATTGGGTCTTGTAAATTAAATTAGTATTCGAACCCAAAAGAAGGGAGAGGAAAAAAAGTTACCAGCTTTCGGAGATCGAGGGTGGTTTGGAGAATTATCTTGAAAATTTGAGGAGATGAAGCCATTTTTTGAACTTTGAAAGCTTGTTCTGCACTTCAAGAATCATCATCGCTCCAAAAAAAGAAAAGGGTCACTTTTTTTCCTTTTTGGGGCAAAACTGTAACGGTGGAGTTTGAAAGTGTTGAGAAATTCAAAGGAATCATCAAAAGCTTAGGGAGCTTCAAATCCATGGCGGCGGTTCTTTTGAACGTCACCATTCAAGGTATAATAAACTTTGAAGAGGCAAAGAAAAAAAAAAGTGAAAAATAAATATTCTTTTTTAAATTATTGATATTCAAATACGTTTTGATTTGGAAGTCTGAATTATTCTGTGTGAATTTGTTGCAGTAAATCTAGGGCCGATCTGATCACCTTCTCCAGATAAATCGGAAAATCATAAACGTTTTTTAAAGTTTACAAGAAAAATAAATATAAAGGTAAAAAATAAAATTTGAAGTTAACTAAACAACATATGGAAATTAATTAAGTTGGTTTTCATGAAAGGTTTAACATTATTCGAACTTTTATGTTTTTTTTTTTCAACAAATACGGATGAGGATTCGAACTTCATGACATTTTGATTGAAAACATGTGTTTTTGACCAATTGAACTATAATTAAGTTGACAAAATATATATATATACCATGTTTTGGTCGTTGATATATATTTTAATGAGTTGAATTATCTCTCTTCCTCTTGCTTATTGTTAAAGACTAAAAAATTCCCTCCCATTGTGTGATAATAAACCAAACAACAACAAATCTTATACATCAATTAAAAAGAAAAAAATTATAAATTTAGTTTCTTTACTTTGAGTATGGGATTTTTTAAGTCCTAAAAACTTCATTAAAATTTACATTACCACTCAACATTGTTGAACGCAGAAAAAAAAAAGTAATAAAAGCATGTTACAGAGCATATATTTCATTATAATATTAACATAGAGGATTTAATATGAAATTATAATACAAAGTTTAGGAATATGATTGAAACTGTTTTTTTTAATTATTTTATTATTTTATTATTTTTTAATTATTTTTAGTACAGCATATGGAAATGGAGATTTGAATACACGACTGTGTCTTAATTAGTTAATTAAAAAAAACTAACAATTAAGCAAATGATGTGATACACGAGCTTCCACTCTCTCCCTTTCTTGCTACTATATATATTCTGGTCTTAGTACATTTCTTCTTTCTCTCAAGAAAAAAACACATTCCTTCTATTAATAATTTCAATAAAGCTCAGAGTTATTAAGTATTTTTTGTCAATAATATAATTTTTTTTTTAAGTTCAATAGTTGCACGGGTAGAAATTGAACCATTGACTGTTGAAATGGTAATAGGTATCTTATTGATCACTTGAATAATGCTCGAATTTTAACAATATACACATTTATTCGAAGTCGATATACACATTCGAATTGACTTATCAATAATATAGTTAATTATCTGAGGATAAATGTGTATACATCTAATATATAATATAAGGTGAGGCTGAAGGTGACAAAAATATTCCCCTATAGTAGCTGTGATTCGTCAAGGATAGAGATTGTGGATGATCTGTGTGCTGAATATTGGTGTATTGACTTTGGCTGATCACCAAAAGGAATCAAAACCAAATTGAGCTTATGGTGATGCAATATATATTAATACAATGACACATTAAACCCTTTAATTTGGTTTCTGTCACTTTCTATGTTGGGATATATCACGCTTCCTTATCTTTACATGTCAACTTCATTATTGCCCTTATAATTATCATATTCATAATTTATAGCCATATGTTTCACTTTCATTCTAATTAATAAATCATCTCTTCTTCTTAAATCTTGCCACATTTATTTCAATTCATACAGCCTACCTCAAATTGATTTTGTTTTTAATGCATTTTGCGCATTGACTCCCAACTCAAATTTGATCTTCAAATCTTGATTATTGAGTTTTGAATATGTGGGAATTTTTAACATTTTTTCGCAAAGGAATGTGTAGCATTTATTATCTTATCCATAACATGTTTTAATATTTTGAGGTTGGAAATAAGATGGAGACAGGAAAATGAAAATTGCTATGAAGAAATGGAGCTAGATGTTTGGTCAAAGTCTGGAAAACACAAGATTTTGACATTACCAAACCATCTAAAAAGTCAACCAAACTATATGAAATCGACCCTAATCGACATTTCGATGATATATTTTTTATTCTAACCTACATAAAACCGAACCAACATGAACTTAAATTGCCCAAACCAATTTATTTCGTTGTTCTTGCAAGAAAAAGGGGGTTTTGGTTCATCACTTCAAAGATGGTTAAGAAATCTTTCAGCTGTGCCATGAAATGAATGATGGCTCTATCTTTTTACCATTGTTTCCATGGCAAACAAGACTCAATGGGTGTGGCCCATTGATAACAAAAGAAAGAGATGCACTTTCTTTTAACCTTCAAGTCTTTTTAGGTATTGATTGTTATGATATGATCACATTTTCATAACTATTACTATTTTGTTCTGTATCGCCCAACAAAACTGACAAAGATTAGTTGACGTGAGAAGTTGAAGTTGGCTACTTTCCTTCAGAGAAACTCAAGGAACCACTCTTATAAGGGGTCTTCTGTTCAAAGTCAAACATGTTTTTTGCCATACTCAGACTGCCTTAACTGCCATTGAGAGTTGAAAAATACCAACAAACTCAGAAAAAGAAAATGGAATTGAAAATGGGAAATGTTGCTAGGCATCAGCTAAATACAGCAGGCATAATTCTGAGCTACACTTCTTTTACACAGATTCAAGAATTTGAGCTCTCTCTGGAGCTATATACCAGCATGATCACGGTGCCATGGCTGCTCGAGATCTAACAATTTCTCCAGAGCCAATCTAGCAATAAACTCAAAAAGAGAACAAACCAAGTAAAAATAGGTATGAATCAACAAATTCATCTGCCTGTGCTGGAGAGCTGGAAGTGAAGACCGAAGCATCCGAGAACGGTGGGAAGATAAATGCACTTTCCAACCATTTCTTGGCGCCCCTTAGTTTACTGCTTTGAGTTTGAGTAAACTTCTTCAGATACTGCTCCCCTCATCCAAACGGCATGATCTCGAAGCTGTGCCTGCATTGTCAATTGCTGCTGCTGCTTCGGGTATTATACTACTTCTGAACCTTCTTGAACAGTAGGAAGAGCACCCTCTTTGATAAAGGTTGGATTAAGAAACTTCGCAACAAAAGCCCATAATCTGTAGACGTCTTCGAAATTGGTCAAAAATCCCAGAGAAGCTGTCACAACTTCTACCCGCATGAACCCGCTCTTTCCACCAAGCTTGCCGTTTTCCATTGGTCTGCAAAGGGTAGTGTCCTCTAGGTTCAAACCACTTCTTTGATGTCTCGGATTGTCGACGATGCGTATGTGACTGAGGAAACCGATCCCTAGAGATATACCTTCTCTTTCAGCCAGCTTCTGTACAATTTCTGGGTTGATTAGCCCCCTAACTTTGTCTCTCACATTGAAAGCTACCGCAGCACCCCTTTCATATTTTATCTTCGGACCATAAATTTGAACAAGATTTGCTCTGCTGCTGCTTCCATCTGAATCAGGCAATCTCAGTTGGAGTAATGATGTCACAAGCCAATTGATCAGAAATCTTAGTCTGAGGGTGGTTTTATTAAGACCCAACAAGTCGATATGATCGATATGGCGGCATGTTATCTCAGGTTCTCTCCTGTCCCAATCTTGTCCGTCCCCATATTCACCATCGGTGGTACCCTCATCATCGTCCAAGCTAGTCAGAGACGTTTCACCTGGCTCCAAATTACAGCTTTGGTGCTCTTTACCACTGTCTTCCATGCTGAAAGAGACTCTTCTTCCCTTGCTCTGCAGTTCAGATTCATCCACACCAAAAAACCTTCCACCAGCAAATCTATTCCCCCGTCGTCCCAGCAACCTAAATTCGCCTTCAGTTTCCCGTCTTATGGCACTCTCCTTAATCTCTGTGCAAATCTCAGAGATTGGACCATTCTCTAAGTTATGGTGCTGGGAGCCAGAAGTCGAATGGCCAAGACGAGATCCCTGGACATCACAATTTGAGACAGAGCCATTCGAAAATGCTTTGCTAGTATCATCTACCTCCAACACATCCACGTGATCTGAACTCCTTTTACCACTATGTGAGGCCGGGCTCAATACTGAATCTTTACCCCCACCGACCTCTTTGTAACGATCGAGCTCTTGAGAAACTGACATGACAGCTGCATCAAATGACAGCATATTTCTTTCATCAGCTGGCCTTGAACTTACTTCTCTGTCATCATAGAGTGGGCTGCTATATATTTTCGAAGTTGGTTTGGGAGATTGTCGTCTATTATTTCGATATGCAAACCAATACGGAGGCAATGGGGAGGCAATTTCATGTTTGTTAAAGCCAGCATTATCAGACCCAAGTGGGCTGTGGCCTAAATCAATCCACAATGAGTTATCAGATGACTCGTCCTCACTGAATACCGGGCTCTTCATCACCTCTCCGACAGAGATACTCTCTGTTTCCTCAAATATAGTGCTCGTACCATCTCTCTCGGAACTTTCATGATCCATGTCAGTTTCAAATACATCTCTAACCTGAGCAGATGTGAATGCACCAGAGAAAGCGGGCAACTGAGATTTTTGGCGAGTTTCGGAGTCTTTATCTACATTCTCAGAGACTCCGTCATCTTCAATCCCAGCAAATCCATCAAGACCATCAATCGAATCACTCAGGTACAAGGGATATTCAGGAGTTATCTTCACCATTCCTGACCCTGTACTCCCAGAATGATTCTGTAAACTAGCCATTACTGATTTCTTGATTAGCAGACATCCAAAACCAGTTGGATCAAACCCAAAAACTCTATAGAACGATGTAACAATAAAATCCGGCCGAAAAAGGGATAGTCCAAGTGAATCCATGTCTTTAGGACCCAAAGATCCTGCATCAAGCAGCACATGCCAGTTGTTCTGCTGCGCCAGAGCCATCCACTGATATGAATACTTTGCCCCCGTCACTCTAGACTGAACCGGAAACACGAAAAGCCCAGTAGCAGAGTCCTTCTTCTTCCTCCTTTTATTCGAAATCTGTTTTCTCAAATCAGTGGAGCAGAGTTTCAGGGATGGCCATCTGAACCATGCGCTATACACTTTTGCACCTTTCTCTCTAGCACATTGAGCCATCCAATTCACAGACTGGCTCTCATAATCAAACATGGTCAACAATTTCTTGTTGGTATGAAAAGGATATGAATCAGCAAGCAATTTAAAAGCTGACCCTCTACTCACAGTAAACACAAGGCCATATTCATGCTCAGGAATGTTTAAATAGTCCATGATTTTGATCTTGATATCATGTTCTACCGTCCCCTTTTCAGCACCTCCATATAGGGCATGGTTGCTCAAATTTGCAGTAATCTCAGACAAGCTAAATGTGGAGGATTCCCAATAGTGAAGAGTTTGAACATAAGAAAAAAGTCCAAACCCACAGTAGTCGAGGCATACCTTTGAACAAAGATGCGAGTACTCGTTGGACCTCAGCTGATCGATCTTCTCCGAGGACTGGTAATTTGGGTACATAGTGAGGAACTTGGAGAAAGATTCATGGAGCTCAGGAATGGCTTCTTCAGACTCGAAAGTGCGCTCAGCGGCGAGCGCGGTGGCGCGTAGGAATTCCCGCTGCGCATGGAGTCTGGCGAGCGAACGCGACCGGCCCAGGCCGCTGCCGCCGTCGTCTTGGTTTCCGTCGGATTCATCAATATCTTGCGATTTGAAGAGAGACCCATTTTCAGATGCTTCTTCGAGAGCTTCTCTGAGCTTGTTTTCTTGCAGTTTTCGGAGAATTGACGAGTTTTTCTTGGCGTCGTGTCCGGAGATAGACCCGTCTCTTCTTCGGCTCTTCTTGTCCATTAATAGAGCAGCGGCGCATTGAGACAGATTTTTCCATAGTGAAAGATGCATTTAAGCTCGTTCTCAAAATGGAACCCAGAGAAATTAGGAAGCAAAAGTTTGGAACAAGAATAACAAAAAAGGGGGGATTTCTAGCCCATCAAATTTGAAAAGGAATTGGAAAAAGATTTATACAGGTCCGAACCCTAGACCCCCAGAAGACAATCGGAAAGGATCTCAATACAGATCAGAGAAAACCCCACTTCAGAAATACCAGAAATGGAAGGAGATTTCAGACCAATTCAACTTCAAATGCAAAACCCCAACTCAGACAAATTCAACTAAAACGATCGAACACAAATAGTTCCCATCGAATATTAGAAAATGAACTCAAATTTGACATTCTCTACGGAAAAGTCAAGACAAAGACCGGAATACCGAGCCGAGTCCCACAAAGAAAAAAATCATAGGGTCAAAACCTAAAAACCCAGAACCCAGATCCTTGAATTTACACACGAAAAGCATTCAATAGACGAAACTCCAACAGATATCGGAACTGAAATTCACAAAACAACCACCAATGAACCAGCAATAATTTCAAAGAGCTCAGCAGGTTCTTGGGCCAATCTTCGATTTCTGTTGCAGATTGAAACAGAAGAAGACGAGCAATTCTTCACCAAGAAAATAGCCTTCCCCTTCAGAGAAGAAGCAGTGAAGCCAAATAATACCAATCTTTATAATCCGCTGCTCTCTCTCTCTCTCTCTCTCTGACCTTACTCTTAAATCTTCTACGCTACCCCTCCATTGGCACAGTAAGAAAGGACAAATTGACTTTAATAAACCAAATGCATACATGATATTATTTTTTTCATGCAATTTTATAATACTTTATGCAGTGACAGAGATAATTGCTTGGTTTTATCTTCGTTTTTATTAGGACCTTTGTTATTTTATACAATTATTCTTTTGGCTGTGTTGGTGTGGTAGAGACCCACACCTTACAACTATTCTCAATAGAATACAGAGCTGTGGCTTTGAGCAGCGAAAAAAGAAAAAAGTCAAAATAAATAAGCTGGTTTCCCAGTCCAACCAGGCAGCCACTAACTTCTTGATTAGATATCTCAATTTTAACTTCTTGCATCAGATCTTCTCACTCTCTCTTTAAATAATTCCCAATTTTTTTCTCTCTGGTTGGATCTTTTAAATAGGTTATGATCTTGCTTTTTATTTTCTCTCTTTAGTGGGAAGAAGATTCCATCTCGATAAATTGCATAGTTATGATTCAAATCAATGATTCTGATTTCAAAATTTTAATCATTTTATTGCCACGTGGATTATGGTGAGGAGGAATTTGAAATCATGAACTATTAGTTCAAAATAGATGCTAATTATGGATTGTACGATGTTCTATGGGTAAAACAAAACCAGGCCATATGAATCAATATCAATAATACCGACTAGTCCTCGGGCTAATCTAATCAACCTAGGGTCGTTGGAATAAAAGTGGGCTCAAAGATGCCTTTGAATTAGGAGATTTCACGGTCAAATTTTAATTCTATTAAAAATTTAAAATGAAATATATATTATTGACCCTATGTTTTCTACCACAAGGTACACTGTAAAATTCAACTTTTGGCTTCGCTACAAAATTATACTTTTTGTTATGCATCTTACTTTTTGCTATATTTTACATAAAATTTTGATTGTAACTTAAAAATCAAAGTGTGTCTAACATTATACCAATGTATAAGTGGTGATTCGTTCATTCTTAAGAAAAGTTCTGAAATCTGTTAGATACGATCATCAAACTTAATAAATTAAAGTCTACTTTAATTGTAAACAAACTATCACTTTTCAATTAATAAATATAGGTTGGTTTAATTGGATCAAAACTAATTAAAAAAAAAATATATATATATATATATATTATAGCCTAATTTCATACACCTGTACCAGAGTATTGGCCAAAATGAAAAATACATGGTTATGATTATAATTGAAGTAATAATATTGAGATGGCCATTTGGGTGTGGTTTCTAAAATTATTTTTTAAATTATTTTACGCCTAGTTTTTATAACTGTTTTGATTCACCTTTTTATTTTTATTTTTATTTTTGTTTTCATTTACTTGTTCTGTAGATTAACCTTGAAATGCAAAACAGGTAAATCATATCATGCTTGTAATATATTTAAATATCATATATGAAGAAATAATTTCAAAATTGTAAAAAAATAAAACACAACATGAAAATATAAGAATTATTAGTATATCTTGTAGAGAATTATTAATCAAGGATTCAAAAAAAGAAAAAAAAAACTTATGTTAAATCACTATGAACTTAAATGTGAGAGAACGTGCATTAAGTGTTACATTAAGACAAACAACTTAAAAACAAAATTGATAAAAAGATAGAGGCATCAAAATTTTTATGGTAAATTGTATTATTTATACTTCATATCAAGTGTGTTAGTGGTCAGTGTGTAATTAGTGAGTTTAATTAAATCTGAGACATTATTACACAAAAAAATTTTGAAAAATAAAATAGTAATAGTAAGTATTTAATTCATTATATACCTGAGCTTCTTTTAAAACGGTCGATAAATTAAATAAATAAATTTCTTACAAAATATTTTTGTTGCCTACCTCACATGAATTGTGCAAATGTCCCAACGTCTATAATTTATATTTTTTGTATAATATTATATCAAATTGTTAGTACATAATTTAAAATATTAATTGAATATACAAAAACAATAAAAAAAACAATAAATTAGTTTTGTACATATGTAGTTGTTTTTAATTCTATAAGTTAAAGGGACAAATTAAACACCTTACAAGTCAACCCCTTTTATATAATTTTTCGAATTTAAGACAAATTAAGACAGACAATTAGCTCCCATTTTTCTGATTGATTCGGCTCCTATTACTACAAGGACATTTTTGTCATCCTTGACATAAATGTAAATGTAGCTAAAAAGAGGTCTACATTGCTCAGCTTTCTATTAAAATTTTATTATTTTATTTAATGATAATATTAATAAAAATCTAATTCTGGCCTTTTTGTTTATTTTTATACTGTTTAAAGTGATGAGAGGGTCATTTCTTTTCAGGTTTAAATTTGTGTGGCGGGTCACAGGACCCATTTTATGGTCAAAGCAAGGCACCCAAAGAAGGTTTCCAAAGCTGACACCTTTTTCAGGCTCTTTATTTTCAAACCATTAAGGTTTGACTCATTTGAGGAGCTTTTTGGAGTTGGAATTCTTCAAATTTTAACATGTAACTTTGATCTTATGTCAACATATATATTTTCTTGTTAGCTTCTATTGAGAAGGTAATTTTTCCCAATTTGAGAAAAATATCTCTTCCTTCCCTAAAGTTTCTAGAGGAAGGCCAAGCCAAGTCTTTGTTACCTTTGAAAATGCCCTCAAAAGGAATCCTTCCTTATATGAATTCTAATGAAAGGGGATAAATAAATATGGAACAAAGATCATAGGGTCATGTTTTGGCTTTTGAGTGATAAATGTGAAACCTTGGGAGGGGATGAGGATGAGACCAGCTTTATTTGCAATTACTGCGTGAAGTTCATTCCTGTTCTTTATTTCTTGTTCCTTCTTTTTCAACAAAGAAAAATAAATTACGTTTGATAATTATTTTTTTAATAAAACTAATTAACATAAAACATACAAGAAAAAATATATACATAAAGTTGTACATATATGTTAATTTGAGCTTAATTTAATAGGTTAAAACATTTATTTTCGACCAAGGTCTGTAGGTTCAAATTCCCACTCTCAAATGTTGTACCCACAAAGTTGTACACAGATGAAACATCAAATTAATTGATCATCTCTAAAGTATTTAACAACATTTTGACAATTGGAACAATACTTAAATACCAATAATTTAATTACATAAACTCCACATAATAAGTATAATAATGTAATACTTTTTTTCAGTTAAATATACAAAATGATCTATAATATTATTGTAATTCTTAAATTTACTTTTAAAGATAAAAAATTATTAATTACATCAATGTGTAAAAAATTTTTAGTATAAAATATTATATACAAATATGAGGGTGAAGATTTAAACTATATTTTAGAAGAGATAATAATATTTCAATATCTATATTTTTTTAGTTAAATAATTATAAAGATTATCTATATTTTTTTAGTTAAATAATTACAAAGATAAACTTTTAATCGTTAAAGCGAACGTAGCACAATTAATTGTTATATATCTCAAACCATACTCATATTTTAGTGATATTCGAATTGGTTAAATAATATAGTTTTTAGAAAAGGTTTACTGGCAAATTTAAATAATATTGTTTTTGAAAAAGGACCTATAGGCAAATTTAACCTATACTTCCACGAAAACAATTGGTGGACATCCTCCGGCCCAACGCGCGCACATTGTTCGCAGAACACAAGCTCGCAGTCGCATCTCTCGTTTCTCTCAAGCCGCTCGCTCATCACAGGTGTTCATACTGCTCATCTTTCTCTACTTTCTTTCGAAGTTACTTGAATTATCAGATTCCAGCTCTCTTTTCCATTTCATGGATAAAATTGAATCTGTAAAGAGGCTGCTGTGCTTTGACAGCATACCTGACTGGCGGCGGCACCGAGGTTTTCTGAGTTGCCATGGCCGATTTCCAGACCTCCACTCAACGAGCCAAATGGATCTTGACTCCTCAGGAGCTGGTACTTTTTTTTTTTCTTTTTTTTTTCCCGTGGCGGTTGAGAAGAGGTATTTGCTAGTACTGCTGATACTGTATTCTTGTTGGCTTCTGATCAAAAGAAGTTCGAGTAATCTTTAGAATTGACTGTTTAAGACATATCTTTCCAATTAGGCTGGTTGTTCTCGCGCCCTTTTAATTTCCACGATATACAGTCTCGTTTGAAGATATTCCGTTCATTATAGACTGCTTCGTAAAGCATCTGGAGTTTCTTACTTCTACGGTACTTGTGAGTTGTGCGAAGTGGTAGTCTTTATTTCAATCGCTTCAGTCGGACGTATTAGTTTTACTATTATCTATTCTGTTACTTACAAGGAGGAAGTGACAAATTGGAACTGTGGAATAGATAATTAATTTTTAAAATTGGTGGAGCATGTGATTTTCCAGATGGCAACTATTAAGCAAAATTTATTTAATAAATTAGCTGGATTATTTGCCGTTGAGGAGCTTTACTGGTGTTTACTATTCGATTAAGAGTCAATGGTGTATCTTAACTGTCAACTTACTGGTATGATGGGAAGTACAAACATTTCAGTTCCTATGTTGTACAGGTCGGCAGGTACAGAGCTGCTAACCAGGGAGCAATYGGAGCTCTGGAGAAGGTACTGATAGAATGAGATAAGACTCCAATTAGTTTCGTCTACTATTTCATGCTTCATTTATTCCCAAAACTCCGAATAGCTGATAGCAGTTCCCCTTATTTATGTTATGTGTTTGCTCCCAGAAAAAGCATTTGGCGTCTGGTTTTATGAGTCTTAATATTACTATCTCTGCCAACTAACTCTCCTCCTGGTTTAGTTTGGAGCGACACTAATGGAAGTAGATGCTGATGGGTCGTTGTCGTATCCAGACCCTCAGATAAACTCAAAAGATCATGGTAGATGCTTTTCTGTTGCTCTTTTTTAAGTTATATTTTGTTCCTTTTTCTCCTCCCTTTATGACGAACTTAACTTTGGCTTTAATCTTAATGTCTAAATACCAACTCTTGGTATGATAGTTTCTTTTAATGTCAGCTGACAAGCATTCCCGCCCCAAAGCTTTGAGTATTGAAGAAGAGCAATTTATGCGAGTATTTTATGAAAATAAACTTCAAGAAGTATGCAACAATTTTCATTTTCCTCATAAAATCCAGGTATTCAGATAAGATGAGATGATTGAACATCCTATCTTTCTTTCCCATGAAGAATTTTATGTATTTCAAATATTGAAAAAGTTACTGATATGAATCATTCTTTTATGGTTTGCCTTAGAATTGTTGACTCTTTGCAGGCAACGGCTCTTATATACTTTAAAAGATTCTACCTACAATGGTCCGTGATGCAACATAATCCAAAAAATGTAATGTAAGAATCTAGATCTACATCTGCTCTATATCCTGAAGTTTCCCTTTATTAATTGTGTAACAATAATTTAACGAGTAAAAAAATCATCTGGAGGCTAAGAACTTTATTCAAATACTTAGTAGAGCAATTTGTTAGACGTAGGATGTATATCTGATATTTTATTTCCTCTTGGAAAGTGCTGCTCCCTGTAATTTGTTTTTCTCTCTGTCACTTATTATTATCATATAAGCCATAGAGTAGTTTCTGGATAATATAGCTAATCATCTCATGCGCAGGTTGACCTGCATATATGCAGCTTGTAAGATAGAAGAAAATCACGTCTCAGCCGAGGAGCTTGGTAAGGGGATTTCGCAGGATCATCAAATTATTCTCAATTATGAGATGATAGTCTATCAGGCATGAATGTGCCATACAACTCATTCTCACTTTTCTCACTTCGTATATTATTGCTTTATTTATTTATTTTCCATCATTAATATAATTTTTCTTCTCTTGTTTCTTTTTTCTGCTTTTCTAGAGTCTGGAATTTGATCTTATTGTTTATGCACCCTACCGATCAGTTGAAGGCTATATAAACGATATGGAGGTAAATATAGTCAGTTTTATGTGGATTCTCTAGGCAATGGTTAAACACGATACATATATTTTTTTCTTTGGCATTCTTCGTTTCTAAAGGTTGGTTGAAGTTTTTCCCTCTCTTTCATCGATCTGGACTTGGTGTTAAATGGTGCATATTTTCAGGATCTCTTCCATGAGAATGCTGAAATGCTTCAAGTGCTAAAGGTAATTGCTCTCATTATTCAATGTAATTGATATAGTGCAGTATGAGTATGTCCTGTCTTCTAGTTTTATAGTCAACCTGTTCATCAATTTACCATTTATAAATTCGTTAAAATTGTTCCCATGGAGACACAGATATCACTTGTCTATGTGAAATTAATTTCAATTCTAGTCAGAATTATATAGTGTTTTTTCTTTAAATGTTATTTCAGTGTGACCAAAGAAATATTTGCATATGTTGATAAGAAATAAATGTATTGATCAGACGAAGAAAATTAGGGGCAGCTAGGAGTCGAGCCTAAGACTGCAGCAAGTGAGAGTAATTTAAAAAAAAAAAAAAA